GTCTGGGTGACAATATCGGAGTAGATTATTGATTCTCCAGTTGACAGTTTGGAGAGTCCACTCTCATTCCATCTGCTTTCGCAAATTCCAACCACTTTAATGTGATACCTCTTTATCTCGTTTGCAATCTGGGCTGCCTTGCTGGGTTCAAACATCGTACGGACATTCCATGTCCCCACGTTTACTTTCGCTTTCATCGAGAGAAGCACAGACATATGAGCCAATTGGCTTCCCGAAGGCTTTCAGCAACTGGCGTCATTTCGCCTCTCCGATTCCAGCGAGGAATAATTTTGTTATTATTTTTTATATTTTGTTTGTGCTTTGAAGTTTGTTTAGCGGTTAGATTTGTTTTACGGGGTAGGGTTGCTAGCCGTATGCCCAACCTTCCCTCTTTATGTGGGCTTAGGACTGGCTAGTAACTAGTGAACTAGTTAACCAGGCGAGGTTCCATGTTTACTCTAACATGGCATAATTAAAGTGCGTGGTGTAACTAATATGATGCATTCCTTATCATTTGAATAAACGCAGCGAATAATTACCCAGCTGAATTGCATTTGATGGTAATGATGGCTTGCTTTTACCAGCCTTATTCTCCGCTGTCACACGAAATTCATAACTCACAAACTCTTGCAGCTTATCAGTAGGAAGTGAGAAGTGTGGCTCAGTGATGGTGAAGTCGGCCGACACATCTTGCCAGCGTGTTGAATCTGTCGGTTTCAGTTCAATGTAGAAGTTGGTGACTGGTCCAGCAGCCGAGACTTGATCACTCGGTTGTTCCCAAGTCAGCTCGATCGTCTGATCTTTGATTGAAGCCTTCTCTGGACTCACAACTGCCTTCACATTGACAGGAGTAGACGATGGACCTACAGAGTGAAAGACAGAAAGATAAATTGTGCGTTATACACTACAACAGCTACAGATTTTATAATCGGAAGATGTGATATCATTTTGAATATTTCGTATCAATAAATGCAGCGGTAATTTCAAAGTAGAATTTGCGAACTGTAGTATATGTAGTTCCACAACAGATAAACTTAATTAACATGGAACTTTAGTGATAATTCTCCTACATTTCAGACTTATTTCACGCCTTTAAAGACCTTATCCGTTTAATAAACCTATGTTATGCGGAAATCCATCAGTTTTTGTGAGCGCTAAGAGGAACGTGTAGTACTGAAACTAATAAATAAGTTTAATTGCGTTGCATTCATTGTTGAATACCAAACTGGCAAGAGACCATTTAGTTTCGATGGATTCTAAATGAAGATAGGCTGAGTCAGGTAGCATAATATGAGTATAGTGCAATCAACGGGCTACAACGGAAGCACAGGGTAAATAAAGTAAACTGTAGTTAACTCAGCTGTGGATACGGTAGAGTCTTCGACGTTTTATGGTAGGATATTCGGCAAAATAGCATACAGAAGAAAATAACGTATAAGAAACATAAGGGTTACATTTTAGCGCAAATAATAATATTTCAGTACATACATGTAGCGTTCACAGTTGCTGTCTGACGTTTAGCTACTTATTATCAAAGTAGTCGAAAATGCGTATGATGCTGACTTCTGGCATTCATACTTAACAAGCGATTTTTTAATATAAAGGTTAGTTTTTAGAGATAATCTGCCTAGTGAGATGATTTAGATTTACACAAATAAATCTTGATGCTTCAAAATGGAAACTAATATTTCCGAAACACCGATATCAAACTTTGATACTAAGAAAAAAAGAATGCAAACTAGGCGAATTCTCCAAAGTTTAATAATTATGCTGCTCCTGTTAAACGTAATTTGAAGATGATTCAAAGAATTTACTTCCTATAGGTGAAACCATAATGCACTATTCGGACAGTTATAGTTATAGAGTGCGATAATATCCTCTGGATTCCTCAAAGAAGCCTGAAAATCCCTAGGAAGCCTTCACGGCCAATCGTGGCGTACCGAACGTACGTGAAAAACCATATGATTATATGTGTTTCAGATTAACTAAAGGACTTTCCAGAAAAATGTAGAGCTTAACGAGACCAAATGTTCGACTTGACAATAAACATTTGTCGTTTTTGCGCCTCTTTCTGTTTTCGGTTATTCGAGAGACGCTCAAGGTTATTGTATAGCCATGTATGTTATTCATCTAGTTCAAACAATCCATTATCAGTTGATATTTCCTCATTTCGAATTCAGCCTGATTTTTTTTTGTGGTGAGTATACATAGCTTTGCAATCATTGAGATGATCTATGAACAGTCATATATCACCTGTTCAAGTGACAACAAAGCAAAACTTTCGATGATGTAGTTGAAAGTGAAACCAGATCAGCAGTTTGATCTTGTTGGTTAGTCGGAAGAGAGGCTAGTTGGTAACGCATTAGTCTCACTGAAACCCTACCTGGCTTTCTTTAAACTCTAACAATCGTTCTCATCACCCACTAACGCTTATTATGCAAATACGGAGGCAAACAAAACTCTAATTTTGTCCTTATTGTGGGTCACTAAAAATCAGGGTGAATTAAATTTACAACGTGACGTACAGTCGACTTTGACAAGGTTTTTAATTAACACAAGGAAAGATTGACCTTATAAATCCTACATGTTCTAACAACTTATTTTGCACAAACTAGAGAATAAACAAGTTTTAGTACATATTTACAATACATCACATGGCATGTTAATACAACAAACAAAATACACACATGAATATGTATACTCAGACATTTTTACCATCTTTGTAGAGAAGTATGAAAACACTGGATACAATAGCTGTATCTGTATGACTTGTAAACAAGTTCCTTTTCTGTACGAGTTAACTTGAGATTTTAACTTTTCGTAAGAACTCAGTAATTTTGTTAGGGAAGATATGATTTATGTGGCAAAAGGTTCAAAAAATCTTGTATTGATCTTCCAAACACGCAGGGATTATAGCTCACATATTCATAGAATGAAACTCACACGGTGCTGAAATTATTCCAGAACACTCTGAACATCGGTCAGCTATGTGATGTGACGTAACACGAAGCATAAGTAGGTGAACATCAATCGATTTTTCAAGAAAAATACCATCGTCATTCCATATAGAAAATATCTTTTCTTTAATACATTAATAACACCATTTAACTATGTGAAGTTAAATTTGAAAGTGGATACAAGTATATCTACAGAAGGTATGATGAGAAAACGGAAGTAGTTGACTGAAGCATGAGATGGGAGTTATTTCCGTACAAAAATATCGTCTACTCGACGTCACAGTAACTCGCTGTTATTTCCTCAAAATAAAATAACAGCAAAACAGTTTAAAAAAACACAAAAACTTACTAATCAACAAGTGCACTAACACTCTAATGTTAATACATGGTGGAATCGATTCTGAAAACAGACGAGTTATTCTCAAGTTACGATACTATTGCATCTACTTCAAAAATGCAAACGTCATCTGCCAAGCTTGGTGAAAATCAAGTTTGTAAGTACACAAAAGCATAAGACGCAGCAAGTAAATAAGCATCCACCAAAACAGAAATCTCTCAAAAGTGAGACTTTTCGAAATTACAACACGAGGGCTACTCCATAAAAATACCAAGCATGTCAACAGAAAACCTAAATTATCATTTTGACTATCTGAGATAGCAGTGGTTTGAAGACTTGTATTGATAATGGGTGATGATTGAAAGTGAAATTAACCGCGTTGGGACTCGAAACAGAGACCACCGGGTTTCCTGCCGATGCTTTACCACCTGAGCTGGGAGGGCCGACTTCTGACTAGATTTCTACTTTACGTCAATCAATAGGGTTTTTTTTACCAACTACTCTGTGAATTCGTGACGCGTTACTACCGCTTAGTCGTACTCACACTGGCTGCCCAGTCATGATTGATAGTCAAATAGTCTTACTGACAAGACAGAGATGATCCAGGCAAAAGTGAAAATTGGTACAATATAATGCTATATTAGATTGCCTGCTTCAACATAACACATAGCAATATAGAATTATTTACTGGATTATGTTCCGAGCAAATAACACTTTATCTCCGAATACCTCATAAGATAATCACACGACTTTCAAGATTCACTTGCATAGTTCAATACTTCTTCGACAGGATGATCAATTTACAAATGACTTACAAATCGCACCATCCATTTTGACATTTCATACACCACACAGTTTTCTAACTAGCCAGCTGTGGAGTCAACAGGTTTTTGTTGGAAATCATCCGGTTAAGATCCCAAAGTGTGACAAAAAAGTGTCATAAAATACCAAGTAAACTATTACCGAACAGCAGGATCAGTTACAAACCACTCCAACTGATTTTGTCAGCCACACCAAAGAGGTCTAAACAGTAGTAATATATGTCGCTGGTTCATGACAATTTTGAGCCAGAGACCACACCTTGTTATCTTGATTGTCTCGTTTCCGATAGACACTATGTAGACGACAGAGCTGGATAGTTAAAAGATATTCGGTTTTTAGAAATGTTAATATGCGCAGTGCAATTTGTTACAAATTGCAAATTTATTGTACTGTTTCAGGAGAGACGTCGACGCAAACGAACTAGCCGAATCCACCTAGTCGGTATTCATTCGCCTCCATGAGTTGAATTTGTCCAAGTACCCCACTGAAGAACTTGCCCCAAACAAACAAAACGTCTCTCTAGGGATTAGATCACTCTCATTTTTACCGGAGGAATATTCAAAAGAAAAAGAGTAATTTCAAACCAATCGAATCCTTCAGTAAAACTATATTTTAAAAATTTCCGATTCGTCAATTTTAACCTAGTCGAACGGTTCGAATGTAAGCAAGATGCCACATTGCACAAATATTAATTGGCCACATACTCATTAAATGGATTTCCAGAAAAATTCCATTCTCACCCTAAATCCAACAATGAAAAAATTCGCAGCGTACGAAAACGTAAAAGCCAGAAATTTCAACACCGTGAAGAGAAGAAATAAATAAAGAAAGTACCAACAAAATCAAAACCTTCAAACTACTCGTCACCATGGCAAGGAATAAAAGACGAATACGCGACCATTCATAGAATCCACAGCCATTTCAGGATTACTTCACACAACTTCAAACACAAGAAGACCACTTCATTCGGCTTAAGTCCAGCTCACCAATAGTATACACATAGTCAATGAATTTCTACACCAAAAAACATTTCAGTCACGCCAATACACCAACAGGCAAACCTCACCATTCACATGATCAATTAGCCTACAAACGAGACTAAATATAATCCATGAAACCTAAACCCTGATACCAACTATAGATCACTCTCCCAATAATGTCACTACAATCTCCAACGAACTAGTACGGGATGTCTACATCCAGTGCGCTCAAAAGATAATATAATCATGCCTACACAATTTCAAATCCAGCTTACCATATTCCAACTTCGTTGAAACTGGACTCGTCTCCACAAAATCGGATTGACCAACTTCATTCTTCGCTGCAACACTGAACACATATGACTTGTTCACCTGCAGTTTGTCCACACAACAGCTCAATTCACTAGTCGTCGTCACCGACCTGCTCGAACGCTGACTCGACTCACGCATCTCAATCACATACATCAGGCTCTGACTCACATCAACACCCGGTGGAAGACCAAGGAATTCAGGCTCACTCCAACTGAACAACACACTCTCACCAGTGTTCTCACTCACCGCCAAATTACGCGGAACTGACGGTTTGTCCAAAACTATCAACTCAATACTCACCGACACCTCACCCAACTCATTACTGATCAACAAACTGTACTCCCCAGCATCCTCACGTTTCACCTTGCTCACTGGTAGTGACGTCAGTCCAGACACCACGTCAGGCTTGAACCGTGGACTCTGAGCTGATCCCAGCTCGGCGTCGGGACGTGTTCTCGGTCTCCATTTCCATTCGACTTTCGGTTTCGGACTGGCGATGAATGGGATCTCGAAGACGGCTGCCTCTCCTGCTTTCATGATGACTTTGTCTGAGAATGACTCTGACAGTTTGAGTGTTGGTTTTACTGAAATTTCAAGGAAAACGTGATGAAGGTTTATTTATTTAGTCTCTCAGTCAATACTCATCAGTTAGTTACAGGATATACAATCAATACTACTGCAGGAAATCACCACTCATATATTACAACATCTAGAGGAAAATATTCACCAATCAATTGACTTCAGTCATCTCAATTCGTCAAAAATAACGGCGTCTACACAGTCATGCATCGGAACATCAAAAGTTCCATGTGAATCATATCAATAGTGCTTAGCAACTCACTTTTCATTTCAAGCCTTGCTTCACTCGTTAAATTCTCCACTTTGACAGAATAAACACCTAGATCCTCATCAGTCAATGGGTGGAAGACAATGCGATGAATCTTTCCATCCTCCAACTCTTCGACTTTAATTCTGTCCGGTAGTCGACTCAGAGTTTTGCCATCTCTAAACCATTGCATCTTCTCACGAGGCGCTCGAGAGAGCTCACATTCAAGTGAAACTGGTCCACTTGTCAGTTCACTCACAGTCAAATCTTCCAGTGGGCGAATGAATTCCAGCGGTATACCTGAACAAAATAAATAAGAAATCTTTAGGTATGCTTTAAGAACGTCTCAGGTTGCTGTTCGTCATCACCACAGGATTTCGCCTGTCTGCTTACACATGCCTAGACGATTGTTTACAACCACAACACATATCACAATCCAAACAAAAGTATCGACAGTATAAATTGACTGACCTATGAACTACATATACAGGATCATGAAAATCTTGTGAAATGTCTTCCATTACAATTTCAAGCAACTATCGTGTGAAACCAATCACCACTTTACGGTTAGTCATATGACGTCGCAATAACCAATCAGTAGTTCAACAAATAAACTTCCTTAGCATAAAGCCACTGGTAAAAGCTTCGAAGCTTAATGGAGGTCCAGATATTCCTGTTGTAATTAGAAATCCAGACACAGACAGACAGAGAGACAGATTGACTGACTGACTGACTGACTGACTGACTGACTGACTGACTAACTGTTAAATACGACTTCCAACTACCTCCAACAGTAGGTGGTCGGAATGCCTAGAGGACCAGTTTGAAGACCATCAGTCAAATGCACTGACTACTGAGTATCGTGAGCATCGAACTGCAATCGTGGTGGGCATTCGCACCCAGAACATAGAAAATAGAAAATAGGTCTCCAAGAAAACAATAAGAAGATGTGAAATGTATTTACGCTGCACATTTCGGACAATCTGATCACATACATACTTACCATAGCAAAGGAATTGATTGATCTATAGATGCTGGTAATAGACAGCCAAGCTCCTCGATTGAGAAACACATTGCATTGATGTTCCTGCCTCTCTTAGACCTCTTCACAAAGTGTGTCCAGAGCGCATCCTCAAGTTTTCCGAGGTCTAAGCTATTCGGAAGTTCTAGACATCGCTATGTGCACAATAACAGTATGCCTTCACATGAGACCCTACTCGGCGAATTTCACCCTCAATCTAACCTTCCCACTTGAACCTCTTCCATGTTCACACTCCTTAACTTTATCGTTTACATATTTCTTGCAACCGTATGTGACAAGTACATTGTCCGAATTGTGTTGCGTAAATACCTCACACACGATTTTAGACAAATCACCTCTGTGTGTCATTTCGTCAAACCAAATATATGCAACTGATTATTTAAAGGGAAACAGGTCAGCATGAATCATAGTTTCGGATAACCTGAAGAAGCCTTTCACATTGGCTGACACTAAACTGATTCCAACTTTTTATGCAAGATGCTAAACACTACTCAAGATACTGAAAACATTTCGTCCAATCTCTTGTCAACGTGTGAGCTGTCAACTACCATGAACCACCACCTACTTGACGTCTTTCACTGCTTCAATGTATCTACACAATCACCATCATCTAGATCAATACAGTTAGTTGCATAAACGAATGTGCACCGACTGTTTTGCAGATGGTAAACAAAGGGATTCCCTCCACTTCAGCGAAAAGCGAACTCCTTCAGCACAGGAATTCAATCGGACCGATTCAGCTCATTGAAAATGAGTATAAAACCCTCGTTGTACTCTACCTGTTCACTGTCTGCAGAAATATTATGAAAAAGGACTTCCACTCTAACCGAGAGAATATCATCTGACTTATCTAGCCTGAAAGCACTTCTTCTAAATTAAAGTATCCTCATACATGTATCGATGAGAAGATCTCAATTGTACTGAAATTCAATCTCAAATCGGTCCAACATGAAGTCGGAGCACAGCAGCCAGCGTAAACTAGCTTCACCAAACACTCATTTCCTCCGAATTCCTTTCGCCTGTGTATGTTGTGACTAAGTGGTTAGTCACCACATAAACACAACAAGATATCATGTCTCATCAAATGATGGACTCCACGCTCCTGATCGCCTTCACATACCCTCATAAACAGTCCTAATGCTTCCTGTCACTTGTTCCCAACCATGCACACACTAGGTGGACGTGTTTTCCTACAGAGAATTGAGATCCATTAGACACCCATCAGTTAGCAAACGTCGATGTAGTACACTTGTGAAACAATCCATATACATTCAGTTGGCAATTGACAACGTTAAACAAAACACAAAATCACATTTGTAATCATCTGAGAACCATCAGACACCAGAACAACACCTGCTGTTACCTGCTGAATCACTGCATCAAAACCACATCCTCGCAGCAAACGAATGAGTTAGCTAAAAAATTTCCAACCACTGTCTGACTCCACAATACCTATTATCATCCTAACCCGTGATCCACAATAACTACATTGCTACTAGCTAATCCCGATGGGGCCGAGTATTGAATCATGAATGTCTGTTAAGTCAGTCAGCTCAGTTTCGAATTCAACGACATCTTCATTTGCGCAAACTTCTGCTCAAAACCTACTGGATTCTAATAGAATCGGTCCTAGCGATAATTGCGTGTACTTGTCACAAATGGTCAGTGCGAAATACGTGTAGCAACACAAATGCCGTAACTTACCCAACTCAACTGCATTCGATGCTGTTGATGGCTTGCTCTTACCAGCCTTATTCTCCGCTGTCACACGAAATTCATAACTCACAAACTCTTGCAGCTTATCAGTAGGAAGTGAGAAGTGTGGCTCAGTGATGGTGAAGTCGGCCGACACATCTTGCCAGCGTGTTGAATCTGTCGGTTTCAGTTCAATGTAGAAGTTGGTGACTGGTCCAGCAGCCGAGACTTGATCACTCGGTTGTTCCCAAGTCAGCTCGATCATCTGATCCTTGATTGAAGCCTTCTCTGGATTGACGATAGCTTTCACATTGATAGGGCTTGGTGGTGGACCTAGTGTATGAAAAAAATTTGCAACCTCATTCATCTTGTCATTCTCACCCAGTCGAAAAACGTTCTTCTATCAAGCAACAATTTTTCATCACATTCACTTTACAAGCTGCAAGCACGTATGTGCATGCCTCCAGTAATTCAATTGAAGAACTGTAGAAACAACCCCTATCACGTAGGACACCGTCTTCCCTATTATGCACTGCTCATTATACTCTCCGAGCACTGCAATTAGCATAAAATTTGGTAGTGAAGTCGACACTGACATCTACATTTTATTGCTTTCTATTCAGCTGACCAATCTCACAAAGTCCATCACATCGGCTTCTCAAGACAACCACGTACGAACCTAATTGTCAAAAGGAGTAAATATCAAGAGTCTACTCAACAGTCACAATAGAGGTGGTCTCCAAATGCCAAAATATGCGGCATATGGTTGCTACTGGGAATAAAAACTTGAAAATTCCCACGCACTGCTGAACAACGTGAATAGTTAGAAACCAATCTCATTGACAAGATCACAGTGACCCTGACACTAGACGGTCGCTCCTCTCGTTGGAGGCCTGGCTCATCAACACTGAACGCTTCATCTCCCCATTTCTAACACTCAATTGCATTTCCAAATGCTCACAAACTACTCATCTGTCTATCGGTAATGCAAATAACCACTGTGCAATTCGTCAATTCGCAAACCATTCGCTAAGTTGATCATTCACGAAAATCTACTTTCGGCTATCTCACAAATTTTCAGAAAGTATTCAGTCCAATACACACAGTAAAGGTAAGAGAAATACAATTTTGGAAACTATACGTCGAAATCGCATCGATCCATGCCACATTGGTCAGTCGCCTTCTGAAATTCACAATCCTACAAGCATGGCACATGTAAACTGAAGACTTTGACAAACCTCTAGAACTAGGAAAACCGAAAGTGAAGTATACAACAACAGCTGTGCACGCCAACTTCAGTGACTACGACAAGTAGTTTTACAAGCCATTCAAATTTTATTCAGAGGATTCCCAAGTCACTCGGTTAAGCACCATCATCTCTACACCGAGGACTGTGCATGTCTCAAAAGTTCTGTCCTCATCTCAAACATAACAAAATCTCTTCACCAACTGCATGAACACATACACACAATCAGCTACTCGTGCACTCCACAAGTACCACCTGCATCTATCCACCCACAGACACAGATACACAGAAAAGCCCGACAACCCTCTATTTCACCTCTCATTCATTCGGAAGCACAAATATCAAAATAATGAGGTCAAAAACCCTATCACCACATTTCTCTATCTCACTACAGAATAGGTCACACAAACATGGTTTGCTGGCATTTACGCGCTGACAATATCATCGTATTTCTTCCCTTTACTAAGGAAACGTCACTACTACTTGTACTCCTTCTATTCACTAACAATACTACAACTCCAAGTTTCCACTCCATTGGCAGTTTATGAATAAAAAAACTCTTCAACATGTAATGAAATCCATTACTCTATCATCTCGATACAAACAAACGCCAATGTGAGAGAATCGAACATTCAGTAGCACCAATTATAAGCAGAGAAGCCAACACTGCTTTCAACAGCAGATGATGTCGTCTGTCACTACCTCACTGCAGTACATTTGTTTAAAACCCTAATATGTACGTTCGCTTGAGTTTCACGATGCCTACAATGCATCACTTCAAGCATAAATATTGGCACAAAAAATCGAGACACTATTAATTCAGGAAACCAAATTCTAAACAATAAAGACACAGATTGTAAGCAGTTGTGTCACTGACGACAACTCTGATTTAGCATATCGCATACTCCAAGTGAACAGCTTCGCTTATGGCCTTCTCCTCACGACCTTATGTTTCAAGAAAGCTTACGTGCACATCAATAGATTCAAGAGATGATCATCAAAATGGAAGATTGATAGTTCCGTGGTAGGACTAGAAGACATAGCCTCCAGATTATTGGATCGCTGTCCTAACTGTGAAACCATAAGATGTAGATGTTGATCACCTCTGAATTTCACTATTATCACTGAGCGCTTCACACGGTCTCTATGACAATGAAGTATACACAACTCTTTGTACATCAAGCACACTATCGCTCCAATCAGGTTTACTCATTCAAATGTAAATCGTCTTCAGGGTTAACTCAATCACAGTTAACAGGCCAATAGTTCAGATGGCTTTCCTAACCAAAACCAGAAACATGGACACGATGATTTTGGATGTCGAAAGAAAACTTGGTTCGTTACAACTAGTTCAAGATGCTGTTCAGCGTCAAAGTCATCTGTCACATACAAATAAACGTCAGTCACAAAGTCTAACCACTAAGCAATAGCCTTATTGCTACCCTAATCAGCCACCTTCAACCATCTGTTTGCATCAGCAATGTCGATAAATGTGAAGATGGCTGCTGCAAAATGGCTGCCATACCAAAGAAATCACAGTACTACAACTGTCACAAATACAAACTAGGATGAATGAAGTTGTCCATCGAAGTCTACAAGGATATGAAACCAGTGTCGATAGGCAGCAATGTTATTGTCCCCTATGAGGTTTCTCAATGATTCCTCTGTTATAGGGAATTCTCCTGTCAGGCTACCACATTTTGAAATTGATTGGTTTTGTGAGGATGCACTGATTCGCTGGGAATTTTCATCATCGATTGACACACCACCACCAAATAGCTGTTCCTCTCAACTACCAAATCAGCTCTGGATCACATTTGATGCTAATATTTCCTAGCGTAAACATAAATAAACACTTGAAGGAATTTTAATCTCATCATCTCTCAATTCAACAGGATGTAACTATACACTCATGCCTCTTACAGAATACACACAGAAGATTCAACAGGATAAACTGCAAAAAAGTGTAAAATGAACAGCAGTTATATGATGCTCAGTTGTGACAACACTTAACTCGAACTGAACACTCCGAAACTGATGTGTAGACGTATTCATCCCCACTTAACTAGATAAGTCAAGCACAGTGGGTTGCAGATGTTCACCAAAGTGAGTAGTCATGATGAGATTAACCTGTCGTCGATAAAAGACCGCAGTTCATTGCACAAACAACTGTTACGTCTTTGAACGGACATCGACAAATCTGAATGATTTCAACGTGCTGATTACTATGGCAAGGAATAAAAGACGAATACGCGACCATTCATAGAATCCACAGCCATTTCAGGATTACTTCACACAACTTCAAACACAAGAAGACCACTTCATTCGGCTTAAGTCCAGCTCACCAATAGTATACACATAGTCAATGAATTTCTACACCAAAAAACATTTCAGTCACGCCAATACACCAACAGGCAAACCTCACCATTCACATGATCAATTAGCCTACAAACGAGACTAAATATAATCCATGAAACCTAAACCCTGATACCAACTATAGATCACTCTCCCAATAATGTCACTACAATCTCCAACGAACTAGTACGGGATGTCTACATCCAGTGCGCTCAAAAGATAATATAATCATGCCTACACAATTTCAAATCCAGCTTACCATATTCCAACTTCGTTGAAACTGGACTCGTCTCCACAAAATCGGATTGACCAACTTCATTCTTCGCTGCAACACTGAACACATATGACTTGTTCACCTGCAGTTTGTCCACACAACAGCTCAATTCACTAGTCGTCGTCACCGACCTGCTCGAACGCTGACTCGACTCACGCATCTCAATCACATACATCAGGCTCTGACTCACATCAACACCCGGTGGAAGACCAAGGAATTCAGGCTCACTCCAACTGAACAACACACTCTCACCAGTGTTCTCACTCACCGCCAAATTACGCGGAACTGACGGTTTGTCCAAAACTATCAACTCAATACTCACCGACACCTCACCCAACTCATTACTGATCAACAAACTGTACTCCCCAGCATCCTCACGTTTCACCTTGCTCACTGGTAGTGACGTCAGTCCAGACACCACGTCAGGCTTGAACCGTGGACTCTGAGCTGATCCCAGCTCGGCGTCGGGACGTGTTCTCGGTCTCCATTTCCATTCGACTTTCGGTTTCGGACTGGCGATGAATGGGATCTCGAAGACGGCTGCCTCTCCTGCTTTCATGATGACTTTGTCTGAGAATGACTCTGACAGTTTGAGTGTTGGTTTTACTGAAATTTCAAGGAAAACGTGATGAAGGTTTATTTATTTAGTCTCTCAGTCAATACTCATCAGTTAGTTACAGGATATACAATCAATACTACTGCAGGAAATCACCACTCATATATTACAACATCTAGAGGAAAATATTCACCAATCAATTGACTTCAGTCATCTCAATTCGTCAAAAATAACGGCGTCTACACAGTCATGCATCGGAACATCAAAAGTTCCATGTGAATCATATCAATAGTGCTTAGCAACTCACTTTTCATTTCAAGCCTTGCTTCACTCGTTAAATTCTCCACTTTGACAGAATAAACACCTAGATCCTCATCAGTCAATGGGTGGAAGACAATGCGATGAATCTTTCCATCCTCCAACTCTTCGACTTTAATTCTGTCCGGTAGTCGACTCAGAGTTTTGCCATCTCTAAACCATTGCATCTTCTCACGAGGCGCTCGAGAGAGTTCACATTCAAGTGAAACTGGTCCACTTGTCAGTTCACTCACAGTCAAATCTTCCAGTGGGCGAATGAATTCCAGCGGTATACCTGAACAAAATAAATAAGAAATCTTTAGGTATGCTTTAAGAACGTCTCAGGTTGCTGTTCGTCATCACCACAGGATTTCGCCTGTCTGCTTACACATGCCTAGACGATTGTTTACAACCACAACACATATCACAATCCAAACAAAAGTATCGACAGTATAAATTGACTGACCTATGAACTACATATACAGGATCATGAAAATCTTGTGAAATGTCTTCCATTACAATTTCAAGCAACTATCGTGTGAAACCAATCACCACTTTACGGTTAGTCATATGACGTCGCAATAACCAATCAGTAGTTCAACAAATAAACTTCCTTAGCATAAAGCCACTGGTAAAAGCTTCGAAGCTTAATGGAGGTCCAGATATTCCTGTTGTAATTAGAAATCCAGACACAGACAGACAGAGAGACAGATTGACTGACTGACTGACTGACTGACTGACTGACTGACTGACTAACTGTGAAATACGACTTCCAACTACCTCCAACAGTAGGTGGTCGGAATGCCTAGAGGACCAGTTTGAAGACCATCAGTCAAATGCACTGACTACTGAGTATCGTGAGCATCGAACTGCAATCGTGGTGGGCATTCGCACCCAGAACATAGAAAATAGAAAATAGGTCTCCAAGAAAACAATAAGAAGATGTGAAATGTATTTACGCTGCACATTTCGGACAATCTGATCACATACATACTTACCATAGCAAAGGAATTGATTGATCTATAGATGCTGGTAATAGACAGCCAAGCTCCTCGATTGAGAAACATATTGCATTGATGTTCCTGCCTCTCTTAGACCTCTTCACAAAGTGTGTCCAGAGCGCATCCTCAAGTTTTCCGAGGTCTAAGCTATTCGGAAGTTCTAGACATCGCTATGTGCACAATAACAGTATGCCTTCACATGAGACCCTACTCGGCGAATTTCACCCTCAATCTAACCTTCCCACTTGAACCTCTTCCATGTTCACACTCCTTAACTTTATCGTTTACATATTTCTTGCAACCGTATGTGACAAGTACATTGTCCGAATTGTGTTGCGTAAATACCTCACACACGATTTTAGACAAATCACCTCTGTGTGTCATTTCGTCAAACCAAATATATGCAACTGATTATTTAAAGGGAAACAGGTCAGCATGAATCATAGTTTCGGATAACCTGAAGAAGCCTTTCACATTGGCTGACACTAAACTGATTCCAACTTTTTATGCAAGATGCTAAACACTACTCAAGATACTGAAAACATTTCGTCCAATCTCTTGTCAACGTGTGAGCTGTCAACTACCATGAACCACCACCTACTTGACGTCTTTCACTGCTTCAATGTATCTACACAATCACCATCATCTAGATCAATACAGTTAGTTGCATAAACGAATGTGCACCGACTGTTTTGCAGATGGTAAACAAAGGGATTCCCTCCACTTCAGCGAAAAGCGAACTCCTTCAGCACAGGAATTCAATCGGACCGATTCAGCTCATTGAAAATGAGTATAAAACCCTCGTTGTACTCTACCTGTTCACTGTCTGCAGAAATATTATGAAAAAGGACTTCCACTCTAACCGAGAGAATATCATCTGACTTATCTAGCCTGAAAGCACTTCTTCTAAATTAAAGTATCCTCATACATGTATCGATGAGAAGATCTCAATTGTACTGAAATTCAATCTCAAATCGGTCCAACATGAAGTCGGAGCACAGCAGCCAGCGTAAACTAGCTTCACCAAACACTCATTTCCTCCGAATTCCTTTCGCCTGTGTATGTTGTGACTAAGTGGTTAGTCACCACATAAACACAACAAGATATCATGTCTCATCAAATGATGGACTCCACGCTCCTGATCGCCTTCACATACCCTCATAAACAGTCCTAATGCTTCCTGTCACTTGTTCCCAACCATGCACACACTAGGTGGACGTGTCTTCCTACAGAGAATTGAGATCCATTAAACACCCATCAGTTAGCAAACGTCGATGTAGTACACTTGTGAAACAATCCATATACATTCAGTTGGCAATTGACAACGTTAAACAAAACACAAAATCACATTTGTAATCATCTGAGAACCATCAGACACCAGAACAACACCTGCTGTTACCTGCTGAATCACTGCATCAAAACCACATCCTCGCAGCAAACGAATGAGTTAGCTAAAAAATTTCCAACCACTGTCTGACTCCACAATACCTATTATCATCCTAACCCGTGATCCACAATAACTACATTGCTACTAGCTAATCCCGATGGGGCCGAGTATTGAATCATGAATGTCTGTTAAGTCAGTCAGCTCAGTTTCAAATTCAACGACATCTTCATTTGCGCAAACTTCTGCTCAAAACCTACTGGATTCTAATAGAATCGGTCCTAGCGATAATTGCGTGTACTTGTCACAAATGGTCAGTGCGAAATACGTGTAGCAACACAAATGCCGTAACTTACCCAACTCAACTGCATTCGATGCTGTTGATGGCTTGCTCTTACCAGCCTTATTCTCCGCTGTCACACGAAATTCATAACTCACAAACTCTTGCAGCTTATCAGTAGGAAGTGAGAAGTGTGGCTCAGTGATGGTGAAGTCGGCCGACACATCTTGCCAGCGTGTTGAATCTGTCGGTTTCAGTTCAATGTAGAAGTTGGTGACTGGTCCAGCAGCCGAGACTTGATCACTCGGTTGTTCCCAAGTCAGCTCGATCATCTGATCCTTGATTGAAGCCTTCTCTGGATTGACGATAGCTTTCACATTGATAGGGCTTGGTGGTGGACCTAGTGTATGAAAAAAATTTGCAACCTCATTCATCTTGTCATTCTCACCCAGTCGAAAAACGTTCTTCTATCAAGCAACAATTTTTCATCACATTCACTTTACAAGCTGCAAGCACGTATGTGCATGCCTCCAGTAATTCAATTGAAGAACTGTAGAAACAACCCCTATCACGTAGGACACCGTCTTCCCTATTATGCACTGCTCATTATACTCTCCGAGCACTGCAATTAGCATAAAATTTGGTAGTGAAGTCGACACTGACATCTACATTTTATTGCTTTCTATTCAGCTGACCAATCTCACAAAGTCCATCACATCGGCTTCTCAAGACAACCACGTACGAACCTAATTGTCAAAAGGAGTAAATATCAAGAGTCTACTCAACAGTCACAATAGAGGTGGTCTCCAAATGCCAAAATATGCGGCATATGGTTGCTACTGGGAATAAAAACTTGAAAATTCCCACGCACTGCTGAACAACGTGAATAGTTAGAAACCAATCTCATTGACAAGATCACAGTGACCCTGACACTAGACGGTCGCTCCTCTCGTTGGAGGCCTGGCTCATCAACACTGAACGCTTCATCTCCCCATTTCTAACACTCAATTGCATTTCCAAATGCTCACAAACTACTCATCTGTCTATCGGTAATGCAAATAACCACTGTGCAATTCGTCAATTCGCAAACCATTCGCTAAGTTGATCATTCACGAAAATCTACTTTCGGCTATCTCACAAATTTTCAGAAAGTATTCAGTCCAATACACACAGTAAAGGTAAGAGAAATACAATTTTGGAAACTATACGTCGAAATCGCATCGATCCATGCCACATTGGTCAGTCGCCTTCTGAAATTCACAATCCTACAAGCATGGCACATGTAAACTGAAGACTTTGACAAACCTCTAGAACTAGGAAAACCGAAAGTGAAGTATACAACAACAGCTGTGCACGCCAACTTCAGTGACTACGACAAGTAGTTTTACAAGCCATTCAAATTTTATTCAGAGGATTCCCAAGTCACTCGGTTAAGCACCATCATCTCTACACCGAGGACTGTGCATGTCTCAAAAGTTCTGTCCTCATCTCAAACATAACAAAATCTCTTCACCAACTGCATGAACACATACACACAATCAGCTACTCGTGCACTCCACAAGTACCACCTGCATCTATCCACCCACAGACACAGATACACAGAAAAGCCCGACAACCCTCTATTTCACCTCTCATTCATTCGGAAGCACAAATATCAAAATAATGAGGTCAAAAACCCTATCACCACATTTCTCTATCTCACTACAGAATAGGTCACACAAACATGGTTTGCTGGCATTTACGCGCTGACAATATCATCGTATTTCTTCCCTTTACTAAGGAAACGTCACTACTACTTGTACTCCTTCTATTCACTAACAATACTACAACTCCAAGTTTCCACTCCATTGGCAGTTTATGAATAAAAAAACTCTTCAACATGTAATGAAATCCATTACTCTATCATCTCGATACAAACAAACGCCAATGTGAGAGAATCGAACATTCAGTAGCACCAATTATAAGCAGAGAAGCCAACACTGCTTTCAACAGCAGATGATGTCGTCTGTCACTACCTCACTGCAGTACATTTGTTTAAAACCCTAATATGTACGTTCGCTTGAGTTTCACGATGCCTACAATGCATCACTTCAAGCATAAATATTGGCACAAAAAATCGAGACACTATTAATTCAGGAAACCAAATTCTAAACAATAAAGACACAGATTGTAAGCAGTTGTGTCACTGACGACAACTCTGATTTAGCATATCGCATACTCCAAGTGAACAGCTTCGCTTATGGCCTTCTCCTCACGACCTTATGTTTCAAGAAAGCTTACGTGCACATCAATAGATTCAAGAGATGATCATCAAAATGGAAGATTGATAGTTCCGTGGTAGGACTAGAAGACATAGCCTCCAGATTATTGGATCGCTGTCCTAACTGTGAAACCATAAGATGTAGATGTTGATCACCTCTGAATTTCACTATTATCACTGAGCGCTTCACACGGTCTCTATGACAATGAAGTATACACAACTCTTTGTACATCAAGCACACTATCGCTCCAATCAGGTTTACTCATTCAAATGTAAATCGTCTTCAGGGTTAACTCAATCACAGTTAACAGGCCAATAGTTCAGATGGCTTTCCTAACCAAAACCAGAAACATGGACACGATGATTTTGGATGTCGAAAGAAAACTTGGTTCGTTACAACTAGTTCAAGATGCTGTTCAGCGTCAAAGTCATCTGTCACATACAAATAAACGTCAGTCACAAAGTCTAACCACTAAGCAATAGCCTTATTGCTACCCTAATCAGCCTCTTACAGAATACACACAGAAGATTCAACAGGATAAACTGCAAAAAAGTGTAAAATGAACAGCAGTTATATGATGCTCAGTTGTGACAACACTTAACTCGAACTGAACACTCCGAAACTGATGTGTAGACGTATTCATCCCCACTTAACTAGATAAGTCAAGCACAGTGGGTTGCAGATGTTCACCAAAGTGAGTAGTCATGATGAGATTAACCTGTCGTCGATAAAAGACCGCAGTTCATTGCACAAACAACTGTTACGTCTTTGAACGGACATCGACAAATCTGAATGATTTCAACGTGCTGATTACTATGGCAAGGAATAAAAGACGAATACGCGACCATTCATAGAATCCACAGCCATTTCAGGATTACTTCACACAACTTCAAACACAAGAAGACCACTTCATTCGGCTTAAGTCCAGCTCACCAATAGTATACACATAGTCAATGAATTTCTACACCAAAAAACATTTCAGTCACGCCAATACACCAACAGGCAAACCTCACCATTCACATGATCAATTAGCCTACAAACGAGACTAAATATAATCCATGAAACCTAAACCCTGATACCAACTATAGATCACTCTCCCAATAATGTCACTACAATCTCCAACGAACTAGTACGGGATGTCTACATCCAGTGCGCTCAAAAGATAATATAATCATGCCTACACAATTTCAAATCCAGCTTACCATATTCCAACTTCGTTGAAACTGGACTCGTCTCCACAAAATCGGATTGACCAACTTCATTCTTCGCTGCAACACTGAACACATATGACTTGTTCACCTGCAGTTTGTCCACACAACAGCTCAATTCACTAGTCGTCGTCACCGACCTGCTCGAACGCTGACTCGACTCACGCATCTCAATCACATACATCAGGCTCTGACTCACATCAACACCCGGTGGAAGACCAAGGAATTCAGGCTCACTCCAACTGAACAACACACTCTCACCAGTGTTCTCACTCACCGCCAAATTACGCGGAACTGACGGTTTGTCCAAAACTATCAACTCAATACTCACCGACACCTCACCCAACTCATTACTGATCAACAAACTGTACTCCCCAGCATCCTCACGTTTCACCTTGCTCACTGGTAGTGACGTCAGTCCAGACACCACGTCAGGCTTGAACCGTGGACTCTGAGCTGATCCCAGCTCGGCGTCGGGACGTGTTCTCGGTCTCCATTTCCATTCGACTTTCGGTTTCGGACTGGCGATGAATGGGATCTCGAAGACGGCTGCCTCTCCTGCTTTCATGATGACTTTGTCTGAGAATGACTCTGACAGTTTGAGTGTTGGTTTTACTGAAATTTCAAGGAAAACGTGATGAAGGTTTATTTATTTAGTCTCTCAGTCAATACTCATCAGTTAGTTACAGGATATACAATCAATACTACTGCAGGAAATCACCACTCATATATTACAACATCTAGAGGAAAATATTCACCAATCAATTGACTTCAGTCATCTCAATTCGTCAAAAATAACGGCGTCTACACAGTCATGCATCGGAACATCAAAAGTTCCATGTGAATCATATCAATAGTGCTTAGCAACTCACTTTTCATTTCAAGCCTTGCTTCACTCGTTAAATTCTCCACTTTGACAGAATAAACACCTAGATCCTCATCAGTCAATGGGTGGAAGACAATGCGATGAATCTTTCCATCCTCCAACTCTTCGACTTTAATTCTGTCCGGTAGTCGACTCAGAGTTTTGCCATCTCTAAACCATTGCATCTTCTCACGAGGCGCTCGAGAGAGTTCACATTCAAGTGAAACTGGTCCACTTGTCAGTTCACTCACAGTCAAATCTTCCAGCGGGCGAATGAATTCCAGCGGTATACCTGAACAAAATAAATAAGAAATCTTTAGGTATGCTTTAAGAACGTCTCAGGTTGCTGTTCGTCATCACCACAGGATTTCGCCTGTCTGCTTACACATGCCTAGACGATTGTTTACAACCACAACACATATCACAATCCAAACAAAAGTATCGACAGTATAAATTGACTGACCTATGAACTACATATACAGGATCATGAAAATCTTGTGAAATGTCTTCCATTACAATTTCAAACAACTATCGTGTGAAACCAATCACCACTTTACGGTTAGTCATATGACGTCGCAATAACCAATCAGTAGTTCAACAAATAAACTTCCTTAGCATAAAGCCACTGGTAAAAGCTTCGAAGCTTAATGGAGGTCCAGATATTCCTGTTGTAATTAGAAATCCAGACACAGACAGACAGAGAGACAGATTGACTGACTGACTGACTGACTGACTGACTGACTGACTGACTAACTGTGAAATACGACTTCCAACTACCTCCAACAGTAGGTGGTCGGAATGCCTAGAGGACCACTTTGAAGACCATCAGTCAAATGCACTGACTACTGAGTATCGTGAGCATCGAACTGCAATCGTGGTGGGCATTCGCACCCAGAACATAGAAAATAGAAAATAGGTCTCCAAGAAAACAATAAGAAGATGTGAAATGTATTTACGCTGCACATTTCGGACAATCTGATCACATACATACTTACCATAGCAAAGGAATTGATTGATCTATAGATGCTGGTAATAGACAGCCAAGCTCCTCGATTGAGAAACACATTGCATTGATGTTCCTGCCTCTCTTAGACCTCTTCACAAAGTGTGTCCAGAGCGCATCCTCAAGTTTTCCGAGGTCTAAGCTATTCGGAAGTTCTAGACATCGCTATGTGCACAATAACAGTATGCCTTCACATGAGACCCTACTCGGCGAATTTCACCCTCAATCTAACCTTCCCACTTGAACCTCTTCCATGTTCACACTCCTTAACTTTATCGTTTACATATTTCTTGCAACCGTATGTGACAAGTACATTGTCCGAATTGTGTTGCGTAAATACCTCACACACGATTTTAGACAAATCACCTCTGTGTGTCATTTCGTCAAACCAAATATATGCAACTGATTATTTAAAGGGAAACAGGTCAGCATGAATCATAGTTTCGGATAACCTGAAGAAGCCTTTCACATTGGCTGACACTAAACTGATTCCAACTTTTTATGCAAGATGCTAAACACTACTCAAGATACTGAAAACATTTCGTCCAATCTCTTGTCAACGTGTGAGCTGTCAACTACCATGAACCACCACCTACTTGACGTCTTTCACTGCTTCAATGTATCTACACAATCACCATCATCTAGATCAATACAGTTAGTTGCATAAACGAATGTGCACCGACTGTTTTGCAGATGGTAAACAAAGGGATTCCCTCCACTTCAGCGAAAAGCGAACTCCTTCAGCACAGGAATTCAATCGGACCGATTCAGCTCATTGAAAATGAGTATAAAACCCTCGTTGTACTCTACCTGTTCACTGTCTGCAGAAATATTATGAAAAAGGACTTCCACTCTAACCGAGAGAATATCATCTGACTTATCTAGCCTGAAAGCACTTCTTCTAAATTAAAGTATCCTCATACATGTATCGATGAGAAGATCTCAATTGTACTGAAATTCAATCTCAAATCGGTCCAACATGAAGTCGGAGCACAGCAGCCAGCGTAAACTAGCTTCACCAAACACTCATTTCCTCCGAATTCCTTTCGCCTGTGTATGTTGTAACTAAGTGGTTAGTCACCACATAAACACAACAAGATATCATGTCTCATCAAATGATGGACTCCACGCTCCTGATCGCCTTCACATACCCTCATAAACAGTCCTAATGCTTCCTGTCACTTGTTCCCAACCATGCACACACTAGGTGGACGTGTCTTCCTACAGAGAATTGAGATCCATTAAACACCCATCAGTTAGCAAACGTCGATGTAGTACACTTGTGAAACAATCCATATACATTCAGTTGGCAATTGACAACGTTAAACAAAACACAAAATCACATTTGTAATCATCTGAGAACCATCAGACACCAGAACAACACCTGCTGTTACCTGCTGAATCACTGCATCAAAACCACATCCTCGCAGCAAACGAATGAGTTAGCTAAAAAATTTCCAACCACTGTCTGACTCCACAATACCTATTATCATCCTAACCCGTGATCCACAATAACTACATTGCTACTAGCTAATCCCGATGGGGCCGAGTATTGAATCATGAATGTCTGTTAAGTCAGTCAGCTCAGTTTCAAATTCAACGACATCTTCATTTGCGCAAACTTCTGCTCAAAACCTACTGGATTCTAATAGAATCGGTCCTAGCGATAATTGCGTGTACTTGTCACAAATGGTCAGTGCGAAATACATGTAGCAACACAAATGCCGTAACTTACCCAACTCAACTGCATTCGATGCTGTTGATGGCTTGCTCTTACCAGCCTTATTCTCCGCTGTCACACGAAATTCATAACTCACAAACTCTTGCAGCTTATCAGTAGGAAGTGAGAAGTGTGGCTCAGTGATGGTGAAGTCGGCCGACACATCTTGCCAGCGTGTTGAATCTGTCGGTTTCAGTTCAATGTAGAAGTTGGTGACTGGTCCAGCAGCCGAGACTTGATCACTCGGTTGTTCCCAAGTCAGCTCGATCATCTGATCCTTGATTGAAGCCTTCTCTGGATTGACGATAGCTTTCACATTGATAGGGCTTGGTGGTGGACCTAGTGTATGAAAAAAATTTGCAACCTCATTCATCTTGTCATTCTCACCCAGTCGAAAAACGTTCTTCTATCAAGCAACAATTTTTCATCACATTCACTTTACAAGCTGCAAGCACGTATGTGCATGCCTCCAGTAATTCAATTGAAGAACTGTAGAAACAACCCCTATCACGTAGGACACCGTCTTCCCTATTATGCACTGCTCATTATACTCTCCGAGCACTGCAATTAGCATAAAATTTGGTAGTGAAGTCGACACTGACATCTACATTTTATTGCTTTCTATTCAGCTGACCAATCTCACAAAGTCCATCACATCGGCTTCTCAAGACAACCACGTACGAACCTAATTGTCAAAAGGAGTAAATATCAAGAGTCTACTCAACAGTCACAATAGAGGTGGTCTCCAAATGCCAAAATATGCGGCATATGGTTGCTACTGGGAATAAAAACTTGAAAATTCCCACGCACTGCTGAACAACGTGAATAGTTAGAAACCAATCTCATTGACAAGATCACAGTGACCCTGACACTAGACGGTCGCTCCTCTCGTTGGAGGCCTGGCTCATCAACACTGAACGCTTCATCTCCCCATTTCTAACACTCAATTGCATTTCCAAATGCTCACAAACTACTCATCTGTCTATCGGTAATGCAAATAACCACTGTGCAATTCGTCAATTCGCAAACCATTCGCTAAGTTGATCATTCACGAAAATCTACTTTCGGCTATCTCACAAATTTTCAGAAAGTATTCAGTCCAATACACACAGTAAAGGTAAGAGAAATACAATTTTGGAAACTATACGTCGAAATCGCATCGATCCATGCCACATTGGTCAGTCGCCTTCTGAAATTCACAATCCTACAAGCATGGCACATGTAAACTGAAGACTTTGACAAACCTCTAGAACTAGGAAAACCGAAAGTGAAGTATACAACAACAGCTGTGCACGCCAACTTCAGTGACTACGACAAGTAGTTTTACAAGCCATTCAAATTTTATTCAGAGGATTCCCAAGTCACTCGGTTAAGCACCATCATCTCTACACCGAGGACTGTGCATGTCTCAAAAGTTCTGTCCTCATCTCAAACATAACAAAATCTCTTCACCAACTGCATGAACACATACACACAATCAGCTACTCGTGCACTCCACAAGTACCACCTGCATCTATCCACCCACAGACACAGATACACAGAAAAGCCCGACAACCCTCTATTTCACCTCTCATTCATTCGGAAGCACAAATATCAAAATAATGAGGTCAAAAACCCTATCACCACATTTCTCTATCTCACTACAGAATAGGTCACACAAACATGGTTTGCTGGCATTAACGCGCTGACAATATCATCGTATTTCTTCCCTTTACTAAGGAAACGTCACTACTACTTGTACTCCTTCTATTCACTAACAATACTACAACTCCAAGTTTCCACTCCATTGGCAGTTTATGAATAAAAAAACTCTTCAACATGTAATGAAATCCATTACTCTATCATCTCGATACAAACAAACGCCAATGTGAGAGAATCGAACATTCAGTAGCACCAATTATAAGCAGAGAAGCCAACACTGCTTTCAACAGCAGATGATGTCGTCTGTCACTACCTCACTGCAGTACATTTGTTTAAAACCCTAATATGTACGTTCGCTTGAGTTTCACGATGCCTACAATGCATCACTTCAAGCATAAATATTGGCACAAAAAATCGAGACACTATTAATTCAGGAAACCAAATTCTAAACAATAAAGACACAGATTGTAAGCAGTTGTGTCACTGACGACAACTCTGATTTAGCATATCGCATACTCCAAGTGAACAGCTTCGCTTATGGCCTTCTCCTCACGACCTTATGTTTCAAGAAAGCTTACGTGCACATCAATAGATTCAAGAGATGATCATCAAAATGGAAGATTGATAGTTCCGTGGTAGGACTAGAAGACATAGCCTCCAGATTATTGGATCGCTGTCCTAACTGTGAAACCATAAGATGTAGATGTTGATCACCTCTGAATTTCACTATTATCACTGAGCGCTTCACACGGTCTCTATGACAATGAAGTATACACAACTCTTTGTACATCAAGCACACTATCGCTCCAATCAGGTTTACTCATTCAAATGTAAATCGTCTTCAGGGTTAACTCAATCACAGTTAACAGGCCAATAGTTCAGATGGCTTTCCTAACCAAAACCAGAAACATGGACACGATGATTTTGGATGTCGAAAGAAAACTTGGTTCGTTACAACTAGTTCAAGATGCTGTTCAGCGTCAAAGTCATCTGTCACATACAAATAAACGTCAGTCACAAAGTCTAACCACTAAGCAATAGCCTTATTGCTACCCTAATCAGCCACCTTCAACCATCTGTTTGCATCAGCAATGTCGATAAATGTGAAGATGGCTGCTGCAAAATGGCTGCCATACCAAAGAAATCACAGTACTACAACTGTCACAAATACAAACTAGGATGAATGAAGTTGTCCATCGAAGTCTACAAGGATATGAAACCAGTGTCGATAGGCAGCAATGTTATTGTCCCCTATGAGGTTTCTCAATGATTCCTCTGTTATAGGGAATTCTCCTGTCAGGCTACCACATTTTGAAATTGATTGGTTTTGTGAGGATGCACTGATTCGTTGGGAATTTTCATCATCGATTGACACACCACCACCAAATAGCTGTTCCTCTCAACTACCAAATCAGCTCTGGATCACATTTGATGCTAATATTTCCTAGCGTAAACATAAATAAACACTTGAAGGAATTTTAATCTCATCATCTCTCAATTCAACAGGATGTAACCATACACTCATGCCTCTTACAGAATACACACAGAAGATTCAACAGGATAAACTGCAAAAAAGTGTAAAATGAACAGCAGTTATATGATGCTCAGTTGTGACAACACTTAACTCGAACTGAACACTCCGAAACTGATGTGTAGACGTATTCATCCCCACTTAACTAGATAAGTCAAGCACAGTGGGTTGCAGATGTTCACCAAAGTGAGTAGTCATGATGAGATTAACCTGTCGTCGATAAAAGACCGCAGTTCATTGCACAAACAACTGTTACGTCTTTGAACGGACATCGACAAATCTGAATGATTTCAACGTGCTGATTACTATGGCAAGGAATAAAAGACGAATACGCGACCATTCATAGAATCCACAGCCATTTCAGGATTACTTCACACAACTTCAAACACAAGAAGACCACTTCATTCGGCTTAAGTCCAGCTCACCAATAGTATACACATAGTCAATGAATTTCTACACCAAAAAACATTTCAGTCACGCCAATACACCAACAGGCAAACCTCACCATTCACATGATCAATTAGCCTACAAACGAGACTAAATATAATCCATGAAACCTAAACCCTGATACCAACTATAGATCACTCTCCCAATAATGTCACTACAATCTCCAACGAACTAGTACGGGATGTCTACATCCAGTGCGCTCAAAAGATAATATAATCATGCCTACACAATTTCAAATCCAGCTTACCATATTCCAACTTCGTTGAAACTGGACTCGTCTCCACAAAATCGGATTGACCAACTTCATTCTTCGCTGCAACACTGAACACATATGACTTGTTCACCTGCAGTTTGTCCACACAACAGCTCAATTCACTAGTCGTCGTCACCGACCTGCTCGAACGCTGACTCGACTCACGCATCTCAATCACATACATCAGGCTCTGACTCACATCAACACCCGGTGGAAGACCAAGGAATTCAGGCTCACTCCAACTGAACAACACACTCTCACCAGTGTTCTCACTCACCGCCAAATTACGCGGAACTGACGGTTTGTCCAAAACTATCAACTCAATACTCACCGACACCTCACCCAACTCATTACTGATCAACAAACTGTACTCCCCAGCATCCTCACGTTTCACCTTGCTCACTGGTAGTGACGTCAGTCCAGACACCACGTCAGGCTTGAACCGTGGACTCTGAGCTGATCCCAGCTCGGCGTCGGGACGTGTTCTCGGTCTCCATTTCCATTCGACTTTCGGTTTCGGACTGGCGATGAATGGGATCTCGAAGACGGCTGCCTCTCCTGCTTTCATGATGACTTTGTCTGAGAATGACTCTGACAGTTTGAGTGTTGGTTTTACTGAAATTTCAAGGAAAACGTGATGAAGGTTTATTTATTTAGTCTCTCAGTCAATACTCATCAGTTAGTTACAGGATATACAATCAATACTACTGCAGGAAATCACCACTCATATATTACAACATCTAGAGGAAAATATTCACCAATCAATTGACTTCAGTCATCTCAATTCGTCAAAAATAACGGCGTCTACACAGTCATGCATCGGAACATCAAAAGTTCCATGTGAATCATATCAATAGTGCTTAGCAACTCACTTTTCATTTCAAGCCTTGCTTCACTCGTTAAATTCTCCACTTTGACAGAATAAACACCTAGATCCTCATCAGTCAATGGGTGGAAGACAATGCGATGAATCTTTCCATCCTCCAACTCTTCGACTTTAATTCTGTCCGGTAGTCGACTCAGAGTTTTGCCATCTCTAAACCATTGCATCTTCTCACGAGGCGCTCGAGAGAGTTCACATTCAAGTGAAACTGGTCCACTTGTCAGTTCACTCACAGTCAAATCTTCCAGCGGGCGAATGAATTCCAGCGGTATACCTGAACAAAATAAATAAGAAATCTTTAGGTATGCTTTAAGAACGTCTCAGGTTGCTGTTCGTCATCACCACAGGATTTCGCCTGTCTGCTTACACATGCCTAGACGATTGTTTACAACCACAACACATATCACAATCCAAACAAAAGTATCGACAGTATAAATTGACTGACCTATGAACTACATATACAGGATCATGAAAATCTTGTGAAATGTCTTCCATTACAATTTCAAACAACTATCGTGTGAAACCAATCACCACTTTACGGTTAGTCATATGACGTCGCAATAACCAATCAGTAGTTCAACAAATAAACTTCCTTAGCATAAAGCCACTGGTAAAAGCTTCGAAGCTTAATGGAGGTCCAGATATTCCTGTTGTAATTAGAAATCCAGACACAGACAGACAGAGAGACAGATTGACTGACTGACTGACTGACTGACTGACTGACTGACTGACTAACTGTGAAATACGACTTCCAACTACCTCCAACAGTAGGTGGTCGGAATGCCTAGAGGACCACTTTGAAGACCATCAGTCAAATGCACTGACTACTGAGTATCGTGAGCATCGAACTGCAATCGTGGTGGGCATTCGCACCCAGAACATAGAAAATAGAAAATAGGTCTCCAAGAAAACAATAAGAAGATGTGAAATGTATTTACGCTGCACATTTCGGACAATCTGATCACATACATACTTACCATAGCAAAGGAATTGATTGATCTATAGATGCTGGTAATAGACAGCCAAGCTCCTCGATTGAGAAACACATTGCATTGATGTTCCTGCCTCTCTTAGACCTCTTCACAAAGTGTGTCCAGAGCGCATCCTCAAGTTTTCCGAGGTCTAAGCTATTCGGAAGTTCTAGACATCGCTATGTGCACAATAACAGTATGCCTTCACATGAGACCCTACTCGGCGAATTTCACCCTCAATCTAACCTTCCCACTTGAACCTCTTCCATGTTCACACTCCTTAACTTTATCGTTTACATATTTCTTGCAACCGTATGTGACAAGTACATTGTCCGAATTGTGTTGCGTAAATACCTCACACACGATTTTAGACAAATCACCTCTGTGTGTCATTTCGTCAAACCAAATATATGCAACTGATTATTTAAAGGGAAACAGGTCAGCATGAATCATAGTTTCGGATAACCTGAAGAAGCCTTTCACATTGGCTGACACTAAACTGATTCCAACTTTTTATGCAAGATGCTAAACACTACTCAAGATACTGAAAACATTTCGTCCAATCTCTTGTCAACGTGTGAGCTGTCAACTACCATGAACCACCACCTACTTGACGTCTTTCACTGCTTCAATGTATCTACACAATCACCATCATCTAGATCAATACAGTTAGTTGCATAAACGAATGTGCACCGACTGTTTTGCAGATGGTAAACAAAGGGATTCCCTCCACTTCAGCGAAAAGCGAACTCCTTCAGCACAGGAATTCAATCGGACCGATTCAGCTCATTGAAAATGAGTATAAAACCCTCGTTGTACTCTACCTGTTCACTGTCTGCAGAAATATTATGAAAAAGGACTTCCACTCTAACCGAGAGAATATCATCTGACTTATCTAGCCTGAAAGCACTTCTTCTAAATTAAAGTATCCTCATACATGTATCGATGAGAAGATCTCAATTGTACTGAAATTCAATCTCAAATCGGTCCAACATGAAGTCGGAGCACAGCAGCCAGCGTAAACTAGCTTCACCAAACACTCATTTCCTCCGAATTCCTTTCGCCTGTGTATGTTGTGACTAAGTGGTTAGTCACCACATAAACACAACAAGATATCATGTCTCATCAAATGATGGACTCCACGCTCCTGATCGCCTTCACATACCCTCATAAACAGTCCTAATGCTTCCTGTCACTTGTTCCCAACCATGCACACACTAGGTGGACGTGTTTCCTACAGAGAATTGAGATCCATTAGACACCCATCAGTTAGCAAACGTCGATGTAGTACACTTGTGAAACAATCCATATACATTCAGTTGGCAATTGACAACGTTAAACAAAACACAAAATCACATTTGTAATCATCTGAGAACCATCAGACACCAGAACAACACCTGCTGTTACCTGCTGAATCACTGCATCAAAACCACATCCTCGCAGCAAACGAATGAGTTAGCTAAAAAATTTCCAACCACTGTCTGACTCCACAATACCTATTATCATCCTAACCCGTGATCCACAATAACTACATTGCTACTAGCTAATCCCGATGGGGCCGAGTATTGAATCATGAATGTCTGTTAAGTCAGTCAGCTCAGTTTCAAATTCAACGACATCTTCATTTGCGCAAACTTCTGCTCAAAACCTACTGGATTCTAATAGAATCGGTCCTAGCGATAATTGCGTGTACTTGTCACAAATGGTCAGTGCGAAATACGTGTAGCAACACAAATGCCGTAACTTACCCAACTCAACTGCATTCGATGCTGTTGATGGCTTGCTCTTACCAGCCTTATTCTCCGCTGTCACACGAAATTCATAACTCACAAACTCTTGCAGCTTATCAGTAGGAAGTGAGAAGTGTGGCTCAGTGATGGTGAAGTCGGCCGACACATCTTGCCAGCGTGTTGAATCTGTCGGTTTCAGTTCAATGTAGAAGTTGGTGACTGGTCCAGCAGCCGAGACTTGATCACTCGGTTGTTCCCAAGTCAGCTCGATCATCTGATCCTTGATTGAAGCCTTCTCTGGATTGACGATAGCTTTCACATTGATAGGGCTTGGTGGTGGACCTAGTGTATGAAAAAAATTTGCAACCTCATTCATCTTGTCATTCTCACCCAGTCGAAAAACGTTCTTCTATCAAGCAACAATTTTTCATCACATTCACTTTACAAGCTGCAAGCACGTATGTGCATGCCTCCAGTAATTCAATTGAAGAACTGTAGAAACAACCCCTATCACGTAGGACACCGTCTTCCCTATTATGCACTGCTCATTATACTCTCCGAGCACTGCAATTAGCATAAAATTTGGTAGTGAAGTCGACACTGACATCTACATTTTATTGCTTTCTATTCAGCTGACCAATCTCACAAAGTCCATCACATCGGCTTCTCAAGACAACCACGTACGAACCTAATTGTCAAAAGGAGTAAATATCAAGAGTCTACTCAACAGTCACAATAGAGGTGGTCTCCAAATGCCAAAATATGCGGCATATGGTTGCTACTGGGAATAAAAACTTGAAAATTCCCACGCACTGCTGAACAACGTGAATAGTTAGAAACCAATCTCATTGACAAGATCACAGTGACCCTGACACTAGACGGTCGCTCCTCTCGTTGGAGGCCTGGCTCATCAACACTGAACGCTTCATCTCCCCATTTCTAACACTCAATTGCATTTCCAAATGCTCACAAACTACTCATCTGTCTATCGGTAATGCAAATAACCACTGTGCAATTCGTCAATTCGCAAACCATTCGCTAAGTTGATCATTCACGAAAATCTACTTTCGGCTATCTCACAAATTTTCAGAAAGTATTCAGTCCAATACACACAGTAAAGGTAAGAGAAATACAATTTTGGAAACTATACGTCGAAATCGCATCGATCCATGCCACATTGGTCAGTCGCCTTCTGAAATTCACAATCCTACAAGCATGGCACATGTAAACTGAAGACTTTGACAAACCTCTAGAATTAGGAAAACCGAAAGTGAAGTATACAACAACAGCTGTGCACGCCAACTTCAGTGACTACGACAAGTAGTTTTACAAGCCATTCAAATTTTATTCAGAGGATTCCCAAGTCACTCGGTTAAGCACCATCATCTCTACACCGAGGACTGTGCATGTCTCAAAAGTTCTGTCCTCATCTCAAACATAACAAAATCTCTTCACCAACTGCATGAACACATACACACAATCAGCTACTCGTGCACTCCACAAGTACCACCTGCATCTATCCACCCACAGACACAGATACACAGAAAAGCCCGACAACCCTCTATTTCACCTCTCATTCATTCGGAAGCACAAATATCAAAATAATGAGGTCAAAAACCCTATCACCACATTTCTCTATCTCACTACAGAATAGGTCACACAAACATGGTTTGCTGGCATTACGCGCTGACAATATCATCGTATTTCTTCCCTTTACTAAGGAAACGTCACTACTACTTGTACTCCTTCTATTCACTAACAATACTACAACTCCAAGTTTCCACTCCATTGGCAGTTTATGAATAAAAAAACTCTTCAACATGTAATGAAATCCATTACTCTATCATCTCGATACAAACAAACGCCAATGTGAGAGAATCGAACATTCAGTAGCACCAATTATAAGCAGAGAAGCCAACACTGCTTTCAACAGCAGATGATGTCGTCTGTCACTACCTCACTGCAGTACATTTGTTTAAAACCCTAATATGTACGTTCGCTTGAGTTTCACGATGCCTACAATGCATCACTTCAAGCATAAATATTGGCACAAAAAATCGAGACACTATTAATTCAGGAAACCAAATTCTAAACAATAAAGACACAGATTGTAAGCAGTTGTGTCACTGACGACAACTCTGATTTAGCATATCGCATACTCCAAGTGAACAGCTTCGCTTATGGCCTTCTCCTCACGACCTTATGTTTCAAGAAAGCTTACGTGCACATCAATAGATTCAAGAGATGATCATCAAAATGGAAGATTGATAGTTCCGTGGTAGGACTAGAAGACATAGCCTCCAGATTATTGGATCGCTGTCCTAACTGTGAAACCATAAGATGTAGATGTTGATCACCTCTGAATTTCACTATTATCACTGAGCGCTTCACACGGTCTCTATGACAATGAAGTATACACAACTCTTTGTACATCAAGCACACTATCGCTCCAATCAGGTTTACTCATTCAAATGTAAATCGTCTTCAGGGTTAACTCAATCACAGTTAACAGGCCAATAGTTCAGATGGCTTTCCTAACCAAAACCAGAAACATGGACACGATGATTTTGGATGTCGAAAGAAAACTTGGTTCGTTACAACTAGTTCAAGATGCTGTTCAGCGTCAAAGTCATCTGTCACATACAAATAAACGTCAGTCACAAAGTCTAACCACTAAGCAATAGCCTTATTGCTACCCTAATCAGCCACCTTCAACCATCTGTTTGCATCAGCAATGTCGATAAATGTGAAGATGGCTGCTGCAAAATGGCTGCCATACCAAAGAAATCACAGTACTACAACTGTCACAAATACAAACTAGGATGAATGAAGTTGTCCATCGAAGTCTACAAGGATATGAAACCAGTGTCGATAGGCAGCAATGTTATTGTCCCCTATGAGGTTTCTCAATGATTCCTCTGTTATAGGGAATTCTCCTGTCAGGCTACCACATTTTGAAATTGATTGGTTTTGTGAGGATGCACTGATTCGTTGGGAATTTTCATCATCGATTGACACACCACCACCAAATAGCTGTTCCTCTCAACTACCAAATCAGCTCTGGATCACATTTGATGCTAATATTTCCTAGCGTAAACATAAATAAACACTTGAAGGAATTTTAATCTCATCATCTCTCAATTCAACAGGATGTAACCATACACTCATGCCTCTTACAGAATACACACAGAAGATTCAACAGGATAAACTGCAAAAAAGTGTAAAATGAACAGCAGTTATATGATGCTCAGTTGTGACAACACTTAACTCGAACTGAACACTCCGAAACTGATGTGTAGACGTATTCATCCCCACTTAACTAGATAAGTCAAGCACAGTGGGTTGCAGATGTTCACCAAAGTGAGTAGTCATGATGAGATTAACCTGTCGTCGATAAAAGACCGCAGTTCATTGCACAAACAACTGTTACGTCTTTGAACGGACATCGACAAATCTGAATGATTTCAACGTGCTGATTACTATGGCAAGGAATAAAAGACGAATACGCGACCATTCATAGAATCCACAGCCATTTCAGGATTACTTCACACAACTTCAAACACAAGAAGACCACTTCATTCGGCTTAAGTCCAGCTCACCAATAGTATACACATAGTCAATGAATTTCTACACCAAAAACATTTCAGTCACGCCAATACACCAACAGGCAAACCTCACCATTCACATGATCAATTAGCCTACAAACGAGACTAAATATAATCCATGAAACCTAAACCCTGATACCAACTATAGATCACTCTCCCAATAATGTCACTACAATCTCCAACGAACTAGTACGGGATGTCTACATCCAGTGCGCTCAAAAGATAATATAATCATGCCTACACAATTTCAAATCCAGCTTACCATATTCCAACTTCGTTGAAACTGGACTCGTCTCCACAAAATCGGATTGACCAACTTCATTCTTCGCTGCAACACTGAACACATATGACTTGTTCACCTGCAGTTTGTCCACACAACAGCTCAATTCACTAGTCGTCGTCACCGACCTGCTCGAACGCTGACTCGACTCACGCATCTCAATCACATACATCAGGCTCTGACTCACATCAACACCCGGTGGAAGACCAAGGAATTCAGGCTCACTCCAACTGAACAACACACTCTCACCAGTGTTCTCACTCACCGCCAAATTACGCGGAACTGACGGTTTGTCCAAAACTATCAACTCAATACTCACCGACACCTCACCCAACTCATTACTGATCAACAAACTGTACTCCCCAGCATCCTCACGTTTCACCTTGCTCACTGGTAGTGACGTCAGTCCAGACACCACGTCAGGCTTGAACCGTGGACTCTGAGCTGATCCCAGCTCGGCGTCGGGACGTGTTCTCGGTCTCCATTTCCATTCGACTTTCGGTTTCGGACTGGCGATGAATGGGATCTCGAAGACGGCTGCCTCTCCTGCTTTCATGATGACTTTGTCTGAGAATGACTCTGACAGTTTGAGTGTTGGTTTTACTGAAATTTCAAGGAAAACGTGATGAAGGTTTATTTATTTAGTCTCTCGTGTATTACTATTTAGTTTTAAAATGTTATTTTTGAGTATCTCGTTGTTTGTTTTATATACTGCTCGTTTTTTTCAGTATGTTTTATATATTGTATGTTTTCTACGAATGTTTTTTGGTTTTTCTTTTTTGATTTATTAGCGTATAATATACGGCCTTTTCTATCTCATTATGACTTTTTTCTTTTTGTGATGTCCGATATGTTTTCTTGTATGAATTCGAATTATTTTATTTTGAACTGTTTCTGGAAGTTTCTTCAAGTTTTTTTCATTCTCCATTAACTTTCATTGTGAATGTTGGATTGGTCTTGTTGCCAATGTGCATTAAGGCGTGATCGCCACTCAGACTCTTACTTCATTTGAGTTTTATTTTGGTGTGTTGGGCATGAAAGTTATGGGCGCTGAGAAGGTTTTCTATGCGTCGGTTTCACTTGCCGGCTGCTATCCTATGATTCTGATAGTTATTGGCATGAAAAATAGCCTCTGTCTATATAATAAAGTTTTACGATTACTATTCTGCTGAAGAGCATAATAAAATTCGTTTGTGAAGACAAATGGAAATATCTACTTTGGTTATGGTAAAGCTGATAAGTGCACGTAATGTTTGGAACACAAATATCAAGTTTTAATTTTATGGATTATCATTATTAGGCTATGAATAAACGACGTAGCCAAAATTATTTGGAGTTTCAGGTACACCTTCTGTAAAATAATCTGAAGAAACTACTGCGAAAAGTTAGAAGTCTCAGGATGACGAGATGTGAAAGTGTGGAACTTTTGATACTCCTTTCTTTTCTGGATAACCAAGCAGAAGAATGTTTCAAAATGGATCTATAGACTTGACACGAAGTGCGGTTAATTCACGTTACTTCACAAGAACATGACAACTGACAAAGCCATATTGAAATGATGAAAAGCGGAATCCTGTCCTCTATGAATTGATAGAATAATCGTCCACCAGAAAATTTGGTTTTTGGTATGTCATTTACATGAGTTAGTATGGGACTAACCATACTCTTAGGTGCCACTCTAATGCAAATTTTAACAGTACAAACCTTTACGACACTTTTTTATAATACATCTTTCAATCAACTCCATGTCTAGTGTTAAAAATACTCACCTAATTCAATCGGTTCTGAGGGAAGTGATGGTAAACTTTTTCCGGCTTCATTTTCAGCAATAACTCTAAATTGATAGCTAACAAATTCTTTTAAATTATTGGTTGGCATTGTAAAATGAGGTTCAGTTAGCGTAAAATCAGCTGATACATCTACCCACTGTTCAGAATCGACTGGCTTAATTTCAATGTAGAAATTAACGACTGGACCTTCATCAGGTTGTTCCCATGTTATATCAAGTTTCGCCTTGGTATCTGGGGAATCTGATGGATTAATAAACACTTTCACATTGATTGGACATGAAGGAACTAGAGGATTCAAAATTAAAATAAAACTATGATTCAATCCGTTTATGCACTACAAGGGAAAACATTACATTACAAAAATTCTTATTCTTTAGTGTATACCCGTACTACTGAAATTTTAAAACCATAGCAAAGGTGATATCATCAGCGAAAAAAACATGTCCAAGAAAATATTACTCATCTGGCGGGCTACGTAGACCTTGAGCTATCAAACATTTTCCACTTGTTACATTACATCAAATTCTTCCCTTTTAATTTTATCTTCTAAACGAGTCATGTACTCATGCATATTTTTAAAATGTTTTCAACTAGAAGTCAACAACAAAAGGAAGAAAAAGTGTTATGGAAGATAGAAATAGTCTTTCAAATATACAAAAAAAATACGCCATATTTCTATTCTTCGGATACATATTTCGATTCTTGTTCTAGCTGAATAAACACTAACACTAAACTTACTCTTGCTCTTCTGTTCATGCCCATTCCAAAGTGGACACTAATCTAACACCACCTGGCGGTTTCATAATATTGCCTTGAATGCTATTATAGCTAGCATCGTTCAGATGCAGTAATCATTTCGTTTAAAAAAATATTGTACTGGAAGGGAATTTGTTTAAGTTTTGCACGCTTAGAATCCCATACTGGACAAACACATTATTTGGAATAAAGTGATTATTATTATTCCATAAAATCAAAAATATAAATGTTTAAATTAAATATTATGGAATGATTACTTACCATACACCTTAGGTAGTTCTTGTGGTTTAATCTGTAAAAGGTTTTTTGAAAGAGAAATGATAAGATAAAAGATAGTTAAGAATAAATTCAAAATAAATGAAACACTCTTCTAAAATATTAAACCATATATATGAAAACAGTTTACACTTAAAAATGCAGCCAGTAAACCATACGTAATAACTAAGCAAAAGTAAGCAGCCAGAGAGATATGAAATACCGTAGAATACTTCATTCATTCATGCAGTAAGTTTGTTCAATGAAGATGCAAAATACTAGAACTTCTGCTAGATATCTGGTATAAAATCAACTGGTATGTGAGTAAATGGGTGATTGAATACTTATATGAAGTAGGTGGTGAAATATCATATATATTTCATAAATTTGCCCTCATCAAAATGCAATCCAGTAATCTTCCTATATATATACAGAATATTGACTACTCAAGTTATAGCAATACTATTTTATACTAACAGTGAGCAAATGTCATGTAAAAAAAAGCCTAATAGGTAACAGATTGATTTCATGGTAGCTTTGAACATGATTTGACATCGCCCAGAAGATTGTTGAGAACTAGGTAGCGCTAGATAATTCTTTCTATTCTAGTTCTGGGTTGACCAAGTAGGCACTTCTACAACATTCTATGTGAGATTTTAACCTCCAGGCCGTATAGAAGTAATTTGAATGCCTATTCACTGGGTCTGCAGTTAGTGTTTCAGTTGATGAGTAGATCTGACTAAAAACGATGTGACCAGAATGATCTGGGATCAATCGAGTATAAGTAGTATAATCCCCAATCTGTTGAGTACGGAGATAGGAAGAAATAGTTATCCAGTGCTATGTAATTACCAGTGGCTCTTTAACTAATTTCACTGTGGGATATAAACTATTTTCAAATGAATTTCCTGTATATCAACTGAAAAATAATTCAGTTCTTGGTATCATCTGGTTGCAATGAGAATATTAAAAATCTCTGAAAATAAACCGTGATTCTTGTAGTCATTGTTGCTGCGAGTGCCGATAAGTGCCAACTAACGATACTAAATAGCAACGTCGTTGTGCTGTGAATTGATCACAGTTGTAAACGTGTACTGTCAGATTTCAACTTAATGAATGAATAATATTGTTGTGGTCTAGAGTTTATGCTTTTCAACGACAATCAGCCAGCACCAGGCATCTGTAAATATTGTACGAAGAACAGTCATCATCGGGCATCCAATAAGCTTAAACATCTAAAGTGTCTGATTAAGTGCATAAGTAAATGTTTCTTAGGTATCTGCAATGGAAGCTGATTTTATAGTTATAAAATGATTTTGAGCGAGCAACAAGTCACTAATTTAGCGTCACAAGTGAGACAAAATGATTGCTAAAATTATAAAAAAAAATTGCTTATTACACATAAAACTTGATCAAAAGTTTAGAAAATATCCCAATTGAATGAATTTTCGAAAATTGAGTCGAACTTCTGATTAGTTTAACGTCGTATCACATCATTACGTGGTGAAATGACACAGTTTTCTGAACACGAGTTTTCCAAAAAAAATTTCAAAAAGTGTAGACACGTATATCATTCCAATTTGACTGGTCTCACTGACATGATGTTCTATAAGTTATTCACTATTTTGAAAGTGAACAGAGCTGATGATCGGGTTATGTCTAGCTAGACACTTTTGAAATTTACTCTCTAAAAGCAAACTTATTAGTATGAAGCCTATTAAAGTAGATTATAGTGCAGTTTACTGCTATCATTAGACTTTTATGTAATCAGCTTAAGGGCTTTCGAACCAAAAAGCTAGGATATGTGAAACATACGTCTGTTGTAGCAGAGATGCTAAAACATCTAATCAAAATAAACTTTAAATTAATAAACAACCCTATGACTTAATGATATGGTTTCGAAAGTCCCCCTGTTATGTACATCCCCATCAAAAATGATCCTATAAAACACTTCAATGTGATAATTGAATGTAATAATGCGAAACGGAAACGAGATTAAAAATGAGGCTATCATCGACTATTCTTATACGTCGATTTGCAACCAAAAATAAACGCGCATTCAATACTTACTTAACTGATTTAAATACTACCTAAAAACAATTGTTACCTAATAAACAGACTACCAGGGAAACATGATACATCACGGTATTGAGATTTCATTGACAAGGCTGTTAGTCATCTTTATATCCCCTGAGATTAAAAAGGGTGTCATTTAACAGTGTAAGTAAAGACTTCACTACTTTTCTGGGAATCAAAGAAATTCAACATTCTTCTTAGCATAAAATGGAAACCACTGATCTGTGTAAAAAAAAACTAACGAGGATTATGTAGTCAAATGAGTGAATAGCCAATTTATTGTATTAATTATTTCACCTGTACACGAGAAAGGAAATATATATTCGAATCACCCATCCTTTATATGCATTACTGATGGAAATCAATACTTAAACTAATTATATGACTGGTCATAGGAAGGGATTCATATCCGATATTACCCTTAAAAGATTTTACAATATCTTTGTGTGAACAGATGATGAATAAAAAACTCGAATCAAACACCTAGGTTTGGAAGTGAGAAATAGTTGTTATCGGACTGATGTAAGAGCATGCATTTTTCATAATCCAAATACAATATATAAAGTCGGATATATAAGGATTTAAGCCACACTATCCTAAAGAAGGTAAAAGATCTTCCGTTTGAATAAAATATGTACTCAATCAGAGACAGATGGAAACTTCCAAATCATTATATGTCTTTGTACAGAGTGAACCAGTTGAAGTTGCCACTATTGACGGCGACATACAAAGATGGATTAGGTAGAAAATAAGAGTATAAAAATAGACAGAAGTGTATGACAGTAGGAAGAATAAACCGATGAAAGTTAGTAAAATTTATCAAGATCTGGTTGGTTGGAGGCAACCGGCAGAAACCCCTGGACCTACGTTTCATGCTTTCCGGCACTCGTCAGCAAGGCGTATTTGCAACCTCGATGGAACTGATGTCTCGCCTGAGATTCGAACCCATGTCACCCAGTGTCGTAGTTAGAGACTTTACCACTGACCTACTCGGCCGTAACTGACCTCCTGCAGGACTGGCTTACATGCATTGATTGCTCACGGGATAGCAACCAATTTCATGTCGTCTAGTCCTGAGTGCAGACCGAATTCTATCAATCATATTTGCAATGTGGCAACCAAGCTAAGAAGCCCAGCATCGCGGTGTACCTTAGTAGAGGTTGCAGATATGCCTTGCTGACGAGTGCCAAAAAACACGAAACCTAAGTCCAAGGCTTCCTGCCGATTACCTCCAACCAATTAAATTCTACTAATGTGCACCACGATGCTGAGCTTCTTAGCTTGGTTGTCACACTGCAAATATGATTGATAGAATTCGGTCTGCACTCAGGACTAGACAACATGAAATTGGTTGCACTCCTGTGACCAATCAGTACTATCGAAATTTCGAAGATGATAAAGTCTAAGTACACCACTGTTACCGATTGTAAGCCATGTCACTGAGATTCTTCCCAATAAGTGATTTTTAACATTTTGAGGATCACAGTCTGACAAGATGCATGTTCCTATATGACTAAGTCCAGTAGCCAAAGACGTCATAAACTGGTGTCATTTCTTAATAATGGCTACACCAAATCGTTATCCATCTTGGTGTTTGTGTCACGTTAAACATATGCTCGATCTCACTTTAAACAACATGTCGTGTCAAGGTCACCGTCATTATGAATGCTAAATGCATATCCAAAAGCCGTCAGTTGATGAAGTGGTCAATGCAATAAACTATTTTACCCTCTAACCTTATACTAGGAGTCAGTGCAGACTAGCTCTGAAAATGCACTCAATCATATTCTACATATGCTAGATAAAAAAGACTGATAAAGAAATAGAAAAATGCGTATGTAAAACGTCTTACAGAAATTTTTTTAATTAGGACACTAGAAAATTTGCTTTATGGCATGAACTCGTCGTCTAAATGTAATTGCCTTAAAATAATTCAAATCACCTGGTAACAATGTCAGGATTAGATACATGCATATATTAAATTTGACAAAACTTTTTAGACAAGGAAAAATCCAAGCTAATTTATTCAAGCTGCCTAATATTACCATCAGTAAATAAATGACTAGGATTTGCTTTAAAACCTAACCTACATCACTGGTATGCAAGCGTGTTTAGAGAACATTCACGCCAGTCATTAGAGGTTTTAATCGACAAAGATGGATGCATCAAACATGAATACAAGTAATGGAATATTATTATTCTAAAGGAGAAATTATGGGAGTTTGAGCGCATATTGACTAGTCACTGGCGGGAAACCAGTTTCATGTTGTGCAGTCCAAAGTGTTGACCCAATTCTTAATATGGATAATTTTGCAATGTTATTACCAAGCTAAGAGGCTTACCACTTCATTGCATTTAGTGGATATTATGTGGTTGCAGATGATCGACAGAAAGTTATCGACTCGGGTATCGCGCTTGTGAGTGATCATCACCAAGGTATTTCCGCCACTCGAAGTGAACCACTGTTCCTTCACAAACTCAGTTCGGTGTCAACAAGTGCTCCAGCACCAGACTAATGAAATACCCACACGTCCACGAACCTCTGACAAGGCCGTGCAAAACGGTCGGTCGCAGGATAGTAAGAACGTTCATTGTGTCAGATGATAAATTTGTTGCCAAGCATGACACTTAATTCACACTACATTTGAAACACATAAACTCAATAATATCATATACAAAGTAAACAAACACCTGACAACAATCACAAATTCAGCTTAAGAAACAGCAAATGCAATCAATGATGACAAAGCAAAATACACAAAGAAACCTCAAAAATAGAAATCAATAACATATGTAAGAATTAACTGACGGCTAAATATTATCAAAGTTAAAAATAACACCAAAGAAAACAAACAAAATTCGTAGCCTCAACACAAAAGATAAAAACCAATAGAAAAATATCACGAAAAAAGCAGCCCGACGGACCTCCAAAAAAAACAACCAAATAAATAAAGCAAAACAAAACGCAAAAGGCAAAAAGGTACACCGGAGACAACCAAAAGTATAACACGAAAGATTCCAGAAAAAATGTGAAAACAAGGATAAAAAATTTCAAAAGTGACTTCAAAACCGGCTGAAGCGGAAGAACTTGCCATGCCACTAAGCCTAAGACTGTGTAATAAATGTATGCCCACCTCAGAAGCAGTTTCTTCGACACTGACGACGTCAGACAAGGAAGGCATCACCGACGAGACAGCAACATCAGCACCTGCTTCGACACCGACCAGCTCGGTCTCCATCTTCACCTCACCAAACGGGCTCACATAAGATACCGTCTCCTCCAGCGACACAGCTTCACTATCAACGCGTTCGTAAGTGGACGAGGCAACAGGCTCAACATGTGGGAGCAAATCTTCCACGGTCGAAGTCACCTGTTCCAACTCAGCTCCCAACTCCTCCGTCACTGATATCTTGCTCTCAACACTCACCACCTCCGCCTCGCCTTCACTCACTACCGAGATCGGCACTGTCGCCTCTTCTTCTGCAGCCACACCCACTGCGGTCGCCATCGTCTCCAACTTCGTCGGCATCTCCATGACTCCAATGGCTGCCTCAATCGGCTGCTCCACAACACACACACTCTCCGGTCGGTCGGAATCCTGCATTTCCTCAACACTCTCCGACAACCACTCCATCGTCTGTGATACTGTCTCCTTCCCTTCTTGTACAATAACCTCCTCGGCCTTTGCAGTCACTCTGTCCTCGGATTCTACCACCTGCTGGTACACAAAAAACGGGATTATAATTATGGCGTCAGTTTTCCAAGTACCTCTTTTTGGGAAATACACTCAAGGGATGGGGTCAAGCTGAATTCCTTTCGAAGCAACCGTATGCAGGCTATCACCAAATAATACACAAGACAACCGAGCACCAAATATTGGCTGTCCATCATCTGGGATTATGGCACTCACTCACAGATGCAACTCAGCATAATCCAACCAGCAAATTTTTCATACACAATCACACGCACGCTCACACACACTCATGAAACTCAAATAATCTGGAAATCGTGCAAAGTTTCATACAATTCACCTTAGATGGGTAGAATCTCGTATAATAGAATGGTTTCAAAATTACTTTATAGCAGTCTGCTGCAACGCCTTGTCAAGATACACTCGACTTATATACACAAGGATACGACAACAAAGTATTTCCCTACGCATTTTCCACTGAGGACACTCGAATGGTTTCACCTCACTTCCTTCTGTAGCCTATCCTATAGTCTCGATGTTTCATCCAACACTCTGGAATAAAACAGTTCCTTCTCACAACACCATGAAAACACTTAACCTAGTGAACACATTGGAAACCTGATCGATACACTTTATTAATTAGAACTTGACAGCCACATTGTGTGCATCTAAAGGCCATAAAAGCCTTACAACTCACAGGATGCCCACGAACGAACTACCCATTATGCAGAGAGAATAGTACACAACGCAAGTCATATATGAGGACCTCTCGTGCTCCCCCATCCCACCAATAACCAACAGTCATTCCACCTTCAACTGAGAAAGAAGCGAGAACAAAACAAACAAGCACTTACAAAGGCCTGTTTCTAGACAGACAGAGGCACATTCTCATCACACGTCCCTGTATCAATCTCAGTCTCTCAGAATAACAGTCATTACCGCTGCTAAACACATCAGTAACAACTTCTGAAACCAACAAGGCGAATTTCAGAAACCAAAATCAATACAACACAGTCAACCAATCAACCAATTCACAAATCAACTACCTAGAGTACCACTCAACCGGAAGAAACAAGACGACCATTTTAGATTAAGTGGTGGGTGACAACAACTCTGAAATTCATCCATCACACTGTCAGTCAATGTGGTTCAACCAGAAATTCAGTTGTAAACTTCTCACAGGGAAATAAGTCAATCGAGGAAACAAAAATCACTTATTCTGTGATATCAGACATTCGACTGAAGCCATTCCAGATGCAGCAGAGCACCGGTAAGGCAGAAGATCTTATACACAAGCTCATCCAGAGGAGTCAACCAAAAAGCGAGATATGCTACAATGAAGAACCAAATTCGTTGCATATCTAAGCTAGTCAAGTATGATTGCAACTACTGACACTAAAGAAAGACTCAAGACCTCACAACAATGCCCAACCGACTCACAATGCCCACAATCCCAGATTATCTACATTTCAAAAAGGCTCATGCAACAGTCCTCTTCCTAAAAAGCACCGAGACAAGTGACGAAGCATTGAATTAAAGGAGCACAAAAGACCAAAACAAACAACGAAAAGGGATAAGAAAGGAAGACAAGGACGAACAAGGAAAAGCCGAATGAGAGAAGAAACTAATGACGGAGGTCGAGGAAATGGTGAGTCCAGATATGAGTTGGTATCTTCCTTCAAAATATCGTCTTCACACTATAATTCAACAGAGTCTCTCTGCCATTTAGGTCATCTGTTTGTCAGCTGAGAATTAATCATTCTCCTAGCGAACACAACTTGTCCATCTCTCCCTGGACACCCTGTGGGTTTTGGAGCACATGAAAGTATCCCTCAGAGATTTTACATACCTCAGAGACTGTATAACACCACGCCACACTTCCCAACCCACCTACATACATACTCACTTACCCATATGCTGAGAAATATATTCATCATTCAATCAGCTTCAAAACTACTCAAGAAATCATGGTTGAATAGAGCACTCATTGTCTTGTCAAAACCTCTCACTGACTGTAAGCAGAACTCCTTGTCAGTGACACAAATTACATCGAAAAAATCACATCAAACAATAGAGCTAGCGTCTGGCATTGAAACACTAAACCACATTTCAACCTGTCGTCATTCTATGCACTCCCACGCTCAACAAGGAGTGGCATCGAATACCCTCAGTGGAGAGAACGAGACCGAACCAATACATGAAACAAACTTATGTCTTCTTCCCTAGCAGAATCGCTAACGATAAACACTTCCCCACCTCAGAGCCAGAAATAATATCTGCACAATGGCTTATGGGATACCATTAAACAAAACCACTGGTCAAGCGATTATAAGGAACCAACATATTCACTACCAATGTGTATCACAGCCGCACAACACAAACGGTCACAGTACAAAATCGAGTGTCTCGGATCTCATTTGTACGTGGATTCCCGAATCAGATCTGTGCCTGATCATTAGATACACAAAACACACCAACGTAACACACACTCACATTCGCTTCCTCAACCACACAAACAAATGAAATCATCTCTGTACAACATCTGATAGGCAGCAACTAGCAACAGTGATCAGTCACCTATCGTTCATCTCAATGGACACTTGCATCGAGGATTTCTGAGTAGCTAGTCCATAAACACAAGCTGAATTCAGTAGTTGGAAGTCCTACTAGTGTGACCAAAACAACTGACAATAAAATCATCACAACACACAAACACACGTTTCAAACAGAACATCAAGCATACGTGATGCTCTTGAAACACATCACAACTACCTACTTTGCCACTCAACATAAAACTGGGGAAGCCACAGGAAACTACATTACCAATGCATAACCCATGGGAACTCCCCTCACATTAAGTCAAAAGAAGAAACAAACCGTGGCAGATGAACACTTATCTGAAAACCGAGGCAATGTGAAGAGCATGGCTTTCATCAAGATGTGAAATTCAAAAATGGACCTACACGAGTTTTACACAGACAGTAAATACATGCAATGAGAAGTGGGAAATTAGCCGATTCCCCAAAAAAATCCTCAAAACATTTCACCAGTGACTTCAAAACCGGCTGAAGCGGAAGAACTTGCCATGCCACTAAGCCTAAGACTGTGTAATAAATGTATGCCCACCTCAGAAGCAGTTTCTTCGACACTGACGACGTCAGACAAGGAAGGCATCACCGACGAGACAGCAACATCAGCACCTGCTTCGACACCGACCAGCTCGGTCTCCATCTTCACCTCACCAAACGGGCTCACATAAGATACCGTCTCCTCCAGCGACACAGCTTCACTATCAACGCGTTCGTAAGTGGACGAGGCAACAGGCTCAACATGTGGGAGCAAATCTTCCACGGTCGAAGTCACCTGTTCCAACTCAGCTCCCAACTCCTCCGTCACTGATATCTTGCTCTCAACACTCACCACCTCCGCCTCGCCTTCACTCACTACCGAGATCGGCACTGTCGCCTCTTCTTCTGCAGCCACATCCACTGCGGTCGCCATCGTCTCCAACTTCGTCGGCATCTCCATGACTCCAATGGCTGCCTCAATCGGCTGCTCCACAACACACACACTCTCCGGTCGGTCGGAATCCTGCATTTCCCCAACACTCTCCGACAACCACTCCATCGTCTCCGAAACTGACTGCTTCACCTCCTCAGCATGCACTAGGTCTTCTTCCTTCCTCACCATCACCGTCACTGTCTCCGTCGAAGTCAACACCTGCTCCACACTCAATGTCACCTCCTCCATCCAGCTCCCAACTCCTCCGTCACTGATATCTTGCTCTCAACACTCACCACCTCCGCCTCGCCTTCACTCACTACCGAGATCGGCACTGTCGCCTCTTCTTCTGCAGCCACATCCACTGCGGTCGCCATCGTCTCCAACTTCGTCGGCATCTCCATGACTCCAATGGCTGCCTCAATCGGCTGCTCCACAACACACACACTCTCCGGTCGGTCGGAATCCTGCATTTCCTCAACACTCTCCGACAACCACTCCATCGTCTGTGATACTGTCTCCTTCCCTTCTTGTACAATAACCTCCTCGGCCTTTGCAGTCACTCTGTCCTCGGATTCTACCACCTGCTGGTACACAAAAAACGGGATTATAATTATGGCGTCAGTTTTCCAAGTACCTCTTTTTGGGAAATACACTCAAGGGATGGGGTCAAGCTGAATTCCTTTCGAAGCAACCGTATGCAGGCTATCACCAAATAATACACAAGACAACCGAGCACCAAATATTGGCTGTCCATCATCTGGGATTATGGCACTCACTCACAGATGCAACTCAGCATAATCCAACCAGCAAATTTTTCATACACAATCACACGCACGCTCACACACACTCATGAAACTCAAATAATCTGGAAATCGTGCAAAGTTTCATACAATTCACCTTAGATGGGTAGAATCTCGTATAATAGAATGGTTTCAAAATTACTTTATAGCAGTCTGCTGCAACGCCTTGTCAAGATACACTCGACTTATATACACAAGGATACGACAACAAAGTATTTCCCTACGCATTTTCCACTGAGGACACTCGAATGGTTTCACCTCACTTCCTTCTGTAGCCTATCCTATAGTCTCGATGTTTCATCCAACACTCTGGAATAAAACAGTTCCTTCTCACAACACCATGAAAACACTTAACCTAGTGAACACATTGGAAACCTGATCGATACACTTTATTAATTAGAACTTGACAGCCACATTGTGTGCATCTAAAGGCCATAAAAGCCTTACAACTCACAGGATGCCCACGAACGAACTACCCATTATGCAGAGAGAATAGTACACAACGCAAGTCATATATGAGGACCTCTCGTGCTCCCCCATCCCACCAATAACCAACAGTCATTCCACCTTCAACTGAGAAAGAAGCGAGAACAAAACAAACAAGCACTTACAAAGGCCTGTTTCTAGACAGACAGAGGCACATTCTCATCACACGTCCCTGTATCAATCTCAGTCTCTCAGAATAACAGTCATTACCGCTGCTAAACACATCAGTAACAACTTCTGAAACCAACAAGGCGAATTTCAGAAACCAAAATCAATACAACACAGTCAACCAATCAACCAATTCACAAATCAACTACCTAGAGTACCACTCAACCGGAAGAAACAAGACGACCATTTTAGATTAAGTGGTGGGTGACAACAACTCTGAAATTCATCCATCACACTGTCAGTCAATGTGGTTCAACCAGAAATTCAGTTGTAAACTTCTCACAGGGAAATAAGTCAATCGAGGAAACAAAAATCACTTATTCTGTGATATCAGACATTCGACTGAAGCCATTCCAGATGCAGCAGAGCACCGGTAAGGCAGAAGATCTTATACACAAGCTCATCCAGAGGAGTCAACCAAAAAGCGAGATATGCTACAATGAAGAACCAAATTCGTTGCATATCTAAGCTAGTCAAGTATGATTGCAACTACTGACACTAAAGAAAGACTCAAGACCTCACAACAATGCCCAACCGACTCACAATGCCCACAATCCCAGATTATCTACATTTCAAAAAGGCTCATGCAACAGTCCTCTTCCTAAAAAGCACCGAGACAAGTGACGAAGCATTGAATTAAAGGAGCACAAAAGACCAAAACAAACAACGAAAAGGGATAAGAAAGGAAGACAAGGACGAACAAGGAAAAGCCGAATGAGAGAAGAAACTAATGACTGAGGTCGAGGAAATGGTGAGTCCAGATATGAGTTGGTATCTTCCTTCAAAATATCGTCTTCACACTATAATTCAACAGAGTCTCTCTGCCATTTAGGTCATCTGTTTGTCAGCTGAGAATTAATCATTCTCCTAGCGAACACAACTTGTCCATCTCTCCCTGGACACCCTGTGGGTTTTGGAGCACATGAAAGTATCCCTCAGAGATTTTACATACCTCAGAGACTGTATAACACCACGCCACACTTCCCAACCCACCTACATACATACTCACTTACCCATATGCTGAGAAATATATTCATCATTCAATCAGCTTCAAAACTACTCAAGAAATCATGGTTGAATAGAGCACTCATTGTCTTGTCAAAACCTCTCACTGACTGTAAGCAGAACTCCTTGTCAGTGACACAAATTACATCGAAAAAATCACATCAAACAATAGAGCTAGCGTCTGGCATTGAAACACTAAACCACATTTCAACCTGTCGTCATTCTATGCACTCCCACGCTCAACAAGGAGTGGCATCGAATACCCTCAGTGGAGAGAACGAGACCGAACCAATACATGAAACAAACTTATGTCTTCTTCCCTAGCAGAATCGCTAACGATAAACACTTCCCCACCTCAGAGCCAGAAATAATATCTGCACAATGGCTTATGGGATACCATTAAACAAAACCACTGGTCAAGCGATTATAAGGAACCAACATATTCACTACCAATGTGTATCACAGCCGCACAACACAAACGGTCACAGTACAAAATCGAGTGTCTCGGATCTCATTTGTACGTGGATTCCCGAATCAGATCTATGCCTGATCATTAGATACACAAAACACACCAACGTAACACACACTCACATTCGCTTCCTCAACCACACAAACAAATGAAATCATCTCTGTACAACATCTGATAGGCAGCAACTAGCAACAGTGATCAGTCACCTATCGTTCATCTCAATGGACACTTGCATCGAGGATTTCTGAGTAGCTAGTCCATAAACACAAGCTGAATTCAGTAGTTGGAAGTCCTACTAGTGTGACCAAAACAACTGACAATAAAATCATCACAACACACAAACACACGTTTCAAACAGAACATCAAGCATACGTGATGCTCTTGAAACACATCACAACTACCTACTTTGCCACTCAACATAAAACTGGGGAAGCCACAGGAAACTACATTACCAATGCATAACCCATGGGAACTCCCCTCACATTAAGTCAAAAGAAGAAACAAACCGTGGCAGATGAACACTTATCTGAAAACCGAGGCAATGTGAAGAGCATGGCTTTCATCAAGATGTGAAATTCAAAAATGGACCTACACGAGTTTTACACAGACAGTAAATACATGCAATGAGAAGTGGGAAATTAGCCGATTCCCCAAAAAAATCCTCAAAACATTTCACCAGTGACTTCAAAACCGGCTGAAGCGGAAGAACTTGCCATGCCACTAAGCCTAAGACTGTGTAATAAATGTATGCCCACCTCAGAAGCAGTTTCTTCGACACTGACGACGTCAGACAAGGAAGGCATCACCGACGAGACAGCAACATCAGCACCTGCTTCGACACCGACCAGCTCGGTCTCCATCTTCACCTCACCAAACGGGCTCACATAAGATACCGTCTCCTCCAGCGACACAGCTTCACTATCAACGCGTTCGTAAGTGGACGAGGCAACAGGCTCAACATGTGGGAGCAAATCTTCCACGGTCGAAGTCACCTGTTCCAACTCAGCTCCCAACTCCTCCGTCACTGATATCTTGCTCTCAACACTCACCACCTCCGCCTCGCCTTCACTCACTACCGAGATCGGCACTGTCGCCTCTTCTTCTGCAGCCACATCCACTGCGGTCGCCATCGTCTCCAACTTCGTCGGCATCTCCATGACTCCAATGGCTGCCTCAATCGGCTGCTCCACAACACACACACTCTCCGGTCGGTCGGAATCCTGCATTTCCTCAACACTCTCCGACAACCACTCCATCGTCTGTGATACTGTCTCCTTCCCTTCTTGTACAATAACCTCCTCGGCCTTTGCAGTCACTCTGTCCTCGGATTCTACCACCTGCTGGTACACAAAAAACGGGATTATAATTATGGCGTCAGTTTTCCAAGTACCTCTTTTTGGGAAATACACTCAAGGGATGGGGTCAAGCTGAATTCCTTTCGAAGCAACCGTATGCAGGCTATCACCAAATAATACACAAGACAACCGAGCACCAAATATTGGCTGTCCATCATCTGGGATTATGGCACTCACTCACAGATGCAACTCAGCATAATCCAACCAGCAAATTTTTCATACACAATCACACGCACGCTCACACACACTCATGAAACTCAAATAATCTGGAAATCGTGCAAAGTTTCATACAATTCACCTTAGATGGGTAGAATCTCGTATAATAGAATGGTTTCAAAATTACTTTATAGCAGTCTGCTGCAACGCCTTGTCAAGATACACTCGACTTATATACACAAGGATACGACAACAAAGTATTTCCCTACGCATTTTCCACTGAGGACACTCGAATGGTTTCACCTCACTTCCTTCTGTAGCCTATCCTATAGTCTCGATGTTTCATCCAACACTCTGGAATAAAACAGTTCCTTCTCACAACACCATGAAAACACTTAACCTAGTGAACACATTGGAAACCTGATCGATACACTTTATTAATTAGAACTTGACAGCCACATTGTGTGCATCTAAAGGCCATAAAAGCCTTACAACTCACAGGATGCCCACGAACGAACTACCCATTATGCAGAGAGAATAGTACACAACGCAAGTCATATATGAGGACCTCTCGTGCTCCCCCATCCCACCAATAACCAACAGTCATTCCACCTTCAACTGAGAAAGAAGCGAGAACAAAACAAACAAGCACTTACAAAGGCCTGTTTCTAGACAGACAGAGGCACATTCTCATCACACGTCCCTGTATCAATCTCAGTCTCTCAGAATAACAGTCATTACCGCTGCTAAACACATCAGTAACAACTTCTGAAACCAACAAGGCGAATTTCAGAAACCAAAATCAATACAACACAGTCAACCAATCAACCAATTCACAAATCAACTACCTAGAGTACCACTCAACCGGAAGAAACAAGACGACCATTTTAGATTAAGTGGTGGGTGACAACAACTCTGAAATTCATCCATCACACTGTCAGTCAATGTGGTTCAACCAGAAATTCAGTTGTAAACTTCTCACAGGGAAATAAGTCAATCGAGGAAACAAAAATCACTTATTCTGTGATATCAGACATTCGACTGAAGCCATTCCAGATGCAGCAGAGCACCGGTAAGGCAGAAGATCTTATACACAAGCTCATCCAGAGGAGTCAACCAAAAAGCGAGATATGCTACAATGAAGAACCAAATTCGTTGCATATCTAAGCTAGTCAAGTATGATTGCAACTACTGACACTAAAGAAAGACTCAAGACCTCACAACAATGCCCAACCGACTCACAATGCCCACAATCCCAGATTATCTACATTTCAAAAAGGCTCATGCAACAGTCCTCTTCCTAAAAAGCACCGAGACAAGTGACGAAGCATTGAATTAAAGGAGCACAAAAGACCAAAACAAACAACGAAAAGGGATAAGAAAGGAAGACAAGGACGAACAAGGAAAAGCCGAATGAGAGAAGAAACTAATGACGGAGGTCGAGGAAATGGTGAGTCCAGATATGAGTTGGTATCTTCCTTCAAAATATCGTCTTCACACTATAATTCAACAGAGTCTCTCTGCCATTTAGGTCATCTGTTTGTCAGCTGAGAATTAATCATTCTCCTAGCGAACACAACTTGTCCATCTCTCCCTGGACACCCTGTGGGTTTTGGAGCACATGAAAGTATCCCTCAGAGATTTTACATACCTCAGAGACTGTATAACACCACGCCACACTTCCCAACCCACCTACATACATACTCACTTACCCATATGCTGAGAAATATATTCATCATTCAATCAGCTTCAAAACTACTCAAGAAATCATGGTTGAATAGAGCACTCATTGTCTTGTCAAAACCTCTCACTGACTGTAAGCAGAACTCCTTGTCAGTGACACAAATTACATCGAAAAAATCACATCAAACAATAGAGCTAGCGTCTGGCATTGAAACACTAAACCACATTTCAACCTGTCGTCATTCTATGCACTCCCACGCTCAACAAGGAGTGGCATCGAATACCCTCAGTGGAGAGAACGAGACCGAACCAATACATGAAACAAACTTATGTCTTCTTCCCTAGCAGAATCGCTAACGATAAACACTTCCCCACCTCAGAGCCAGAAATAATATCTGCACAATGGCTTATGGGATACCATTAAACAAAACCACTGGTCAAGCGATTATAAGGAACCAACATATTCACTACCAATGTGTATCACAGCCGCACAACACAAACGGTCACAGTACAAAATCGAGTGTCTCGGATCTCATTTGTACGTGGATTCCCGAATCAGATCTATGCCTGATCATTAGATACACAAAACACACCAACGTAACACACACTCACATTCGCTTCCTCAACCACACAAACAAATGAAATCATCTCTGTACAACATCTGATAGGCAGCAACTAGCAACAGTGATCAGTCACCTATCGTTCATCTCAATGGACACTTGCATCGAGGATTTCTGAGTAGCTAGTCCATAAACACAAGCTGAATTCAGTAGTTGGAAGTCCTACTAGTGTGACCAAAACAACTGACAATAAAATCATCACAACACACAAACACACGTTTCAAACAGAACATCAAGCATACGTGATGCTCTTGAAACACATCACAACTACCTACTTTGCCACTCAACATAAAACTGGGGAAGCCACAGGAAACTACATTACCAATGCATAACCCATGGGAACTCCCCTCACATTAAGTCAAAAGAAGAAACAAACCGTGGCAGATGAACACTTATCTGAAAACCGAGGCAATGTGAAGAGCATGGCTTTCATCAAGATGTGAAATTCAAAAATGGACCTACACGAGTTTTACACAGACAGTAAATACATGCAATGAGAAGTGGGAAATTAGCCGATTCCCCAAAAAAATCCTCAAAACATTTCACCAGTGACTTCAAAACCGGCTGAAGCGGAAGAACTTGCCATGCCACTAAGCCTAAGACTGTGTAATAAATGTATGCCCACCTCAGAAGCAGTTTCTTCGACACTGACGACGTCAGACAAGGAAGGCATCACCGACGAGACAGCAACATCAGCACCTGCTTCGACACCGACCAGCTCGGTCTCCATCTTCACCTCACCAAACGGGCTCACATAAGATACCGTCTCCTCCAGCGACACAGCTTCACTATCAACGCGTTCGTAAGTGGACGAGGCAACAGGCTCAACATGTGGGAGCAAATCTTCCACGGTCGAAGTCACCTGTTCCAACTCAGCTCCCAACTCCTCCGTCACTGATATCTTGCTCTCAACACTCACCACCTCCGCCTCGCCTTCACTCACTACCGAGATCGGCACTGTCGCCTCTTCTTCTGCAGCCACATCCACTGCGGTCGCCATCGTCTCCAACTTCGTCGGCATCTCCATGACTCCAATGGCTGCCTCAATCGGCTGCTCCACAACACACACACTCTCCGGTCGGTCGGAATCCTGCATTTCCCCAACACTCTCCGACAACCACTCCATCGTCTGTGATACTGTCTCCTTCCCTTCTTGTACAATAACCTCCTCGGCCTTTGCAGTCACTCTGTCCTCGGATTCTACCACCTGCTGGTACACAAAAAACGGGATTATAATTATGGCGTCAGTTTTCCAAGTACCTCTTTTTGGGAAATACACTCAAGGGATGGGGTCAAGCTGAATTCCTTTCGAAGCAACCGTATGCAGGCTATCACCAAATAATACACAAGACAACCGAGCACCAAATATTGGCTGTCCATCATCTGGGATTATGGCACTCACTCACAGATGCAACTCAGCATAATCCAACCAGCAAATTTTTCATACACAATCACACGCACGCTCACACACACTCATGAAACTCAAATAATCTGGAAATCGTGCAAAGTTTCATACAATTCACCTTAGATGGGTAGAATCTCGTATAATAGAATGGTTTCAAAATTACTTTATAGCAGTCTGCTGCAACGCCTTGTCAAGATACACTCGACTTATATACACAAGGATACGACAACAAAGTATTTCCCTACGCATTTTCCACTGAGGACACTCGAATGGTTTCACCTCACTTCCTTCTGTAGCCTATCCTATAGTCTCGATGTTTCATCCAACACTCTGGAATAAAACAGTTCCTTCTCACAACACCATGAAAACACTTAACCTAGTGAACACATTGGAAACCTGATCGATACACTTTATTAATTAGAACTTGACAGCCACATTGTGTGCATCTAAAGGCCATAAAAGCCTTACAACTCACAGGATGCCCACGAACGAACTACCCATTATGCAGAGAGAATAGTACACAACGCAAGTCATATATGAGGACCTCTCGTGCTCCCCCATCCCACCAATAACCAACAGTCATTCCACCTTCAACTGAGAAAGAAGCGAGAACAAAACAAACAAGCACTTACAAAGGCCTGTTTCTAGACAGACAGAGGCACATTCTCATCACACGTCCCTGTATCAATCTCAGTCTCTCAGAATAACAGTCATTACCGCTGCTAAACACATCAGTAACAACTTCTGAAACCAACAAGGCGAATTTCAGAAACCAAAATCAATACAACACAGTCAACCAATCAACCAATTCACAAATCAACTACCTAGAGTACCACTCAACCGGAAGAAACAAGACGACCATTTTAGATTAAGTGGTGGGTGACAACAACTCTGAAATTCATCCATCACACTGTCAGTCAATGTGGTTCAACCAGAAATTCAGTTGTAAACTTCTCACAGGGAAATAAGTCAATCGAGGAAACAAAAATCACTTATTCTGTGATATCAGACATTCGACTGAAGCCATTCCAGATGCAGCAGAGCACCGGTAAGGCAGAAGATCTTATACACAAGCTCATCCAGAGGAGTCAACCAAAAAGCGAGATATGCTACAATGAAGAACCAAATTCGTTGCATATCTAAGCTAGTCAAGTATGATTGCAACTACTGACACTAAAGAAAGACTCAAGACCTCACAACAATGCCCAACCGACTCACAATGCCCACAATCCCAGATTATCTACATTTCAAAAAGGCTCATGCAACAGTCCTCTTCCTAAAAAGCACCGAGACAAGTGACGAAGCATTGAATTAAAGGAGCACAAAAGACCAAAACAAACAACGAAAAGGGATAAGAAAGGAAGACAAGGACGAACAAGGAAAAGCCGAATGAGAGAAGAAACTAATGACGGAGGTCGAGGAAATGGTGAGTCCAGATATGAGTTGGTATCTTCCTTCAAAATATCGTCTTCACACTATAATTCAACAGAGTCTCTCTGCCATTTAGGTCATCTGTTTGTCAGCTGAGAATTAATCATTCTCCTAGCGAACACAACTTGTCCATCTCTCCCTGGACACCCTGTGGGTTTTGGAGCACATGAAAGTATCCCTCAGAGATTTTACATACCTCAGAGACTGTATAACACCACGCCACACTTCCCAACCCACCTACATACATACTCACTTACCCATATGCTGAGAAATATATTCATCATTCAATCAGCTTCAAAACTACTCAAGAAATCATGGTTGAATAGAGCACTCATTGTCTTGTCAAAACCTCTCACTGACTGTAAGCAGAACTCCTTGTCAGTGACACAAATTACATCGAAAAAATCACATCAAACAATAGAGCTAGCGTCTGGCATTGAAACACTAAACCACATTTCAACCTGTCGTCATTCTATGCACTCCCACGCTCAACAAGGAGTGGCATCGAATACCCTCAGTGGAGAGAACGAGACCGAACCAATACATGAAACAAACTTATGTCTTCTTCCCTAGCAGAATCGCTAACGATAAACACTTCCCCACCTCAGAGCCAGAAATAATATCTGCACAATGGCTTATGGGATACCATTAAACAAAACCACTGGTCAAGCGATTATAAGGAACCAACATATTCACTACCAATGTGTATCACAGCCGCACAACACAAACGGTCACAGTACAAAATCGAGTGTCTCGGATCTCATTTGTACGTGGATTCCCGAATCAGATCTGTGCCTGATCATTAGATACACAAAACACACCAACGTAACACACACTCACATTCGCTTCCTCAACCACACAAACAAATGAAATCATCTCTGTACAACATCTGATAGGCAGCAACTAGCAACAGTGATCAGTCACCTATCGTTCATCTCAATGGACACTTGCATCGAGGATTTCTGAGTAGCTAGTCCATAAACACAAGCTGAATTCAGTAGTTGGAAGTCCTACTAGTGTGACCAAAACAACTGACAATAAAATCATCACAACACACAAACACACGTTTCAAACAGAACATCAAGCATACGTGATGCTCTTGAAACACATCACAACTACCTACTTTGCCACTCAACATAAAACTGGGGAAGCCACAGGAAACTACATTACCAATGCATAACCCATGGGAACTCCCCTCACATTAAGTCAAAAGAAGAAACAAACCGTGGCAGATGAACACTTATCTGAAAACCGAGGCAATGTGAAGAGCATGGCTTTCATCAAGATGTGAAATTCAAAAATGGACCTACACGAGTTTTACACAGACAGTAAATACATGCAATGAGAAGTGGGAAATTAGCCGATTCCCCAAAAAAATCCTCAAAACATTTCACCAGTGACTTCAAAACCGGCTGAAGCGGAAGAACTTGCCATGCCACTAAGCCTAAGACTGTGTAATAAATGTATGCCCACCTCAGAAGCAGTTTCTTCGACACTGACGACGTCAGACAAGGAAGGCATCACCGACGAGACAGCAACATCAGCACCTGCTTCGACACCGACCAGCTCGGTCTCCATCTTCACCTCACCAAACGGGCTCACATAAGATACCGTCTCCTCCAGCGACACAGCTTCACTATCAACGCGTTCGTAAGTGGACGAGGCAACAGGCTCAACATGTGGGAGCAAATCTTCCACGGTCGAAGTCACCTGTTCCAACTCAGCTCCCAACTCCTCCGTCACTGATATCTTGCTCTCAACACTCACCACCTCCGCCTCGCCTTCACTCACTACCGAGATCGGCACTGTCGCCTCTTCTTCTGCAGCCACATCCACTGCGGTCGCCATCGTCTCCAACTTCGTCGGCATCTCCATGACTCCAATGGCTGCCTCAATCGGCTGCTCCACAACACACACACTCTCCGGTCGGTCGGAATCCTGCATTTCCCCAACACTCTCCGACAACCACTCCATCGTCTGTGATACTGTCTCCTTCCCTTCTTGTACAATAACCTCCTCGGCCTTTGCAGTCACTCTGTCCTCGGATTCTACCACCTGCTGGTACACAAAAAACGGGATTATAATTATGGCGTCAGTTTTCCAAGTACCTCTTTTTGGGAAATACACTCAAGGGATGGGGTCAAGCTGAATTCCTTTCGAAGCAACCGTATGCAGGCTATCACCAAATAATACACAAGACAACCGAGCACCAAATATTGGCTGTCCATCATCTGGGATTATGGCACTCACTCACAGATGCAACTCAGCATAATCCAACCAGCAAATTTTTCATACACAATCACACGCACGCTCACACACACTCATGAAACTCAAATAATCTGGAAATCGTGCAAAGTTTCATACAATTCACCTTAGATGGGTAGAATCTCGTATAATAGAATGGTTTCAAAATTACTTTATAGCAGTCTGCTGCAACGCCTTGTCAAGATACACTCGACTTATATACACAAGGATACGACAACAAAGTATTTCCCTACGCATTTTCCACTGAGGACACTCGAATGGTTTCACCTCACTTCCTTCTGTAGCCTATCCTATAGTCTCGATGTTTCATCCAACACTCTGGAATAAAACAGTTCCTTCTCACAACACCATGAAAACACTTAACCTAGTGAACACATTGGAAACCTGATCGATACACTTTATTAATTAGAACTTGACAGCCACATTGTGTGCATCTAAAGGCCATAAAAGCCTTACAACTCACAGGATGCCCACGAACGAACTACCCATTATGCAGAGAGAATAGTACACAACGCAAGTCATATATGAGGACCTCTCGTGCTCCCCCATCCCACCAATAACCAACAGTCATTCCACCTTCAACTGAGAAAGAAGCGAGAACAAAACAAACAAGCACTTACAAAGGCCTGTTTCTAGACAGACAGAGGCACATTCTCATCACACGTCCCTGTATCAATCTCAGTCTCTCAGAATAACAGTCATTACCGCTGCTAAACACATCAGTAACAACTTCTGAAACCAACAAGGCGAATTTCAGAAACCAAAATCAATACAACACAGTCAACCAATCAACCAATTCACAAATCAACTACCTAGAGTACCACTCAACCGGAAGAAACAAGACGACCATTTTAGATTAAGTGGTGGGTGACAACAACTCTGAAATTCATCCATCACACTGTCAGTCAATGTGGTTCAACCAGAAATTCAGTTGTAAACTTCTCACAGGGAAATAAGTCAATCGAGGAAACAAAAATCACTTATTCTGTGATATCAGACATTCGACTGAAGCCATTCCAGATGCAGCAGAGCACCGGTAAGGCAGAAGATCTTATACACAAGCTCATCCAGAGGAGTCAACCAAAAAGCGAGATATGCTACAATGAAGAACCAAATTCGTTGCATATCTAAGCTAGTCAAGTATGATTGCAACTACTGACACTAAAGAAAGACTCAAGACCTCACAACAATGCCCAACCGACTCACAATGCCCACAATCCCAGATTATCTACATTTCAAAAAGGCTCATGCAACAGTCCTCTTCCTAAAAAGCACCGAGACAAGTGACGAAGCATTGAATTAAAGGAGCACAAAAGACCAAAACAAACAACGAAAAGGGATAAGAAAGGAAGACAAGGACGAACAAGGAAAAGCCGAATGAGAGAAGAAACTAATGACGGAGGTCGAGGAAATGGTGAGTCCAGATATGAGTTGGTATCTTCCTTCAAAATATCGTCTTCACACTATAATTCAACAGAGTCTCTCTGCCATTTAGGTCATCTGTTTGTCAGCTGAGAATTAATCATTCTCCTAGCGAACACAACTTGTCCATCTCTCCCTGGACACCCTGTGGGTTTTGGAGCACATGAAAGTATCCCTCAGAGATTTTACATACCTCAGAGACTGTATAACACCACGCCACACTTCCCAACCCACCTACATACATACTCACTTACCCATATGCTGAGAAATATATTCATCATTCAATCAGCTTCAAAACTACTCAAGAAATCATGGTTGAATAGAGCACTCATTGTCTTGTCAAAACCTCTCACTGACTGTAAGCAGAACTCCTTGTCAGTGACACAAATTACATCGAAAAAATCACATCAAACAATAGAGCTAGCGTCTGGCATTGAAACACTAAACCACATTTCAACCTGTCGTCATTCTATGCACTCCCACGCTCAACAAGGAGTGGCATCGAATACCCTCAGTGGAGAGAACGAGACCGAACCAATACATGAAACAAACTTATGTCTTCTTCCCTAGCAGAATCGCTAACGATAAACACTTCCCCACCTCAGAGCCAGAAATAATATCTGCACAATGGCTTATGGGATACCATTAAACAAAACCACTGGTCAAGCGATTATAAGGAACCAACATATTCACTACCAATGTGTATCACAGCCGCACAACACAAACGGTCACAGTACAAAATCGAGTGTCTCGGATCTCATTTGTACGTGGATTCCCGAATCAGATCTGTGCCTGATCATTAGATACACAAAACACACCAACGTAACACACACTCACATTCGCTTCCTCAACCACACAAACAAATGAAATCATCTCTGTACAACATCTGATAGGCAGCAACTAGCAACAGTGATCAGTCACCTATCGTTCATCTCAATGGACACTTGCATCGAGGATTTCTGAGTAGCTAGTCCATAAACACAAGCTGAATTCAGTAGTTGGAAGTCCTACTAGTGTGACCAAAACAACTGACAATAAAATCATCACAACACACAAACACACGTTTCAAACAGAACATCAAGCATACGTGATGCTCTTGAAACACATCACAACTACCTACTTTGCCACTCAACATAAAACTGGGGAAGCCACAGGAAACTACATTACCAATGCATAACCCATGGGAACTCCCCTCACATTAAGTCAAAAGAAGAAACAAACCGTGGCAGATGAACACTTATCTGAAAACCGAGGCAATGTGAAGAGCATGGCTTTCATCAAGATGTGAAATTCAAAAATGGACCTACACGAGTTTTACACAGACAGTAAATACATGCAATGAGAAGTGGGAAATTAGCCGATTCCCCAAAAAAATCCTCAAAACATTTCACCAGTGACTTCAAAACCGGCTGAAGCGGAAGAACTTGCCATGCCACTAAGCCTAAGACTGTGTAATAAATGTATGCCCACCTCAGAAGCAGTTTCTTCGACACTGACTACGTGAGAGTAGAATTTGTTATGGCCGTGACTGCAATACCCTGTAATTTTGGGGCATGGCACACCTTTATCTCGCTATGTATTATATCTGTAACGGTTTGTGTTTTGTCTTCTGGGTTTGCCTCGTCTATCGCTGTTAATTTTGTCTCTCGATTTCGCGGCATGTCGTAGACTGTATATTCTCTGTGTGTGTGTGTGTATGTATGTGTGTACTGCTGTACTACAGCCTCATTTGCTCTTCCGTTGGTGTCTTGCATTTCGAAAACTTCCTCAAACAACCACTCTATGTTCTCTGGTACTCACCGGTTCTGTTTTTCTGACTTAATAATATAGGCTTCTATCTTATGTGGCATGATTCCTTTTGGCTCTAGACCCTGTTGGATCTCACGTATGTTTTTTTCAGTTTCTAATCTTTCCTCCAGCTTATTTATTTCAGTGGCATGGCTAGTTGCTTCGTTTGTTTTTATTTTAATCATGCTTAGTTTTGTTTCTTCATGTCTTACCTGGTGAATTGTTTCTCCTTCCTTCGTATTTTCAATTGTTTTTGTTTGGATTTGCTGAATGAGTATATTATTTTCCATTTCAGCTTGATCCTTTTCTTCAGTAATGAATGCTGTTTCTACTTTTGTCTGCTCCTTTGTTTCAATAGCTGTGAGTTCTACTACGCTTAGATCCGAAATTATTGTTGGAGGTACATCATGGAGTGAAATTTCAGTCAAGCTTGGTATTGACGGGGCTTTTCCAGCTTCTTCTACACTTACAGTTGTTTCATCTATACTCAACGAATCGTGAGGTATGAGGACGTCCAGGACTATGGCGTGAGTAGGAGTTACACCTTCTTCAAGTAAAAATTCAGTGTCGTCCATTTCTAAGGGTTCTTCTAGACCTATTTCGTATTCTGTCTCTTCTGCTACATGCTCGTAAACCGCTGCCTGTGCTACTTCAGGCAGTGTTTCAATAGGTGAATACATTTCTATTTTCTCAGTTTTCACTACGTTTGTAAAAGCGTCTTGTTTTTGCCCTTCTAAGCTCTCAACTGTTGCTACAACTTCTTCTACATCCGAAACATCAGTGACAATGGTTAAAGCAGCCTCAACAGTGAATGCTGTTCGATCCCCTGACTTCAAAACAGTTGTATCTGTCCTTACCTCTACTAATACAACTACTTCCGTTTGGCTGATAGCCATACCAAGATCATTCTGTGCCTCAACAGAATAAATTCCAGAATCTTCAGGAAACGCTTCGGATATTGTTAGTTCACAAACTCCTGTTTCTGGGGTATAAAAAATGACTGCATCTGTACTGTCTGGCTGAAGTATATCTCCATTGTGTTTCCAAGTCACATCTTTTGGTTGGGGATTTCCTTTAATTGTAGCTGTCAAGTAAATTTCTTCACCTTCAGAGACATTGAGGGGTGTTAATTCACTCATTATAACGGGAGAACTGAGATTATCCTGTTCTTGAAGATATTCTGATTCAATTTAAAAAAAGAAGAAAAATGAATCAATCAAAAATTATTATTTTTTCACTAATCATTTCCAATAAAATGAACGCATGTTAATATGAAAAACAATTAGGCACTACTCATAAAGGCAAAGTGGAGAATTGAAATTTTGAAGTCGAAGGGCGTGTGTCTAACCATGGTACAGAAGAACGTGGAATCCTCCAAAGACAAAAATATCGCATAAGACCAATCAAAATATACATAGATTTAAAGCAACTAATCCCCTTTATAAACTTGGATAAAACAATAACAAGACGTAAATTGTTTTAGCTATGTAGTGGTATTTGCGCAAAACATTTTGAGCAATTTCATCATACACTTACTTGTCATAGGTATTTATTTATCATATGTTCTATCGGATTTATCGATAATATGTCGATTGAACTGCTTACAGTTTCGCAGTATTATCATTCTTAAAACGAAAGCCAATATACATAACTTTTCAATAAATGCTTTGCAGCATCACTTAAAAGAGCTACTGCTTTTACGTACAAGCAAAATAAGATTTCAATTCAAAGGATAACATTTCCGTTAAGTTCATGGTGTTGACATGAAAAGCCCCCTGAGTCCCTTTTCAGCAGACGTATTTACGTCACACATGAAAAACTTGGCGGTAAACCTAATTGAGAAGGTTCATCTATATCGAAGATATGTCTATGATATCCTAATTATGTGATAACTCAATTCTGAATCGATCTAACGAAGCGCAGAGCAGCAAATCCTTAACATGTGTAGAGCAGAACGATAGTTGCTTTTCTTTATTGGACATATCAATCAGACAATAGTAAAGTGGATCTATAAAACGATCTGTCAATCCATCAAAATTTATTAGCCGGTACAAAGTAGCCAGAGTGTCGAAAACTCCCCTACATTTTGTCCCGAAGAAAGCTGTCTTTATCAGTCCTCTGTACAAAGATGACTCTCATATCGCAATCATTAAAAAGAAACTTAACGCTGCTACTCGAA